CTTCTGTATACAGGATGGAAATCATGCAAATACAGGAGGTGAAGCTGCTGGGAAAGACAGTAGTATATGGAAAATATTGTAGGCTTCTGTAATCAAAAGCCAAACAGGGAAACACTGTTCTCACCTATGATTAACTTCACTAAGCAGATAAGTGTCGGCAGGCTAGTTGAGACAAGTCATGCTCATCAACTGTGACTTGTTAGACCACCACTCCCACCCTTCCCCCTTGTTCTCTGAGGCAGTGGGCAGTGCCCAGGCCTTTTGAGAGAGAGAGGGTCATGCCACTTAGTGATCATTGTTTGAGAGAATCTTTGCCTTTGCTCTGGGATGTGCTGGAGCTTTACCAGCCACATTTGGCAAAAAAACCCGAGAGAAAGAGCACAACAGTGCAGCATCTCCCATCATCAAGCACGTTCCTTCAAATACTACTGTTAAATGGCCTCCTGCTGCCCTGGTTTGTCTTTGGAGTCAATGGAGATCCCAGAGAAATGAATGTGTGCCTTGGTTTCTGATTCGTTTTAATGCAGGCAGATGTATATCTTTATTATCCAGAGGGTTGTGGCAGTATGGAACAAGCTTTTCAGTCCTGCTGTTGGAGCTGTCAGTTTGGCGTCTTTCAAGAAGAGGCATGAATGATATCCTGGGATCAAAAGGGGTCTAACTATCCGATGGGTCACTTGGGTCAAATGGCCTCCTCTCGTTTGTCAGCGTTTCTTACCCTCTGTAGCGCGGTCTGAAGGAAAGCCTGGATTTTTCCACTGGCTTTTCACATTGCTCTTCCTTGGCCACGGGGGTGGGAGACAGGGGGCGCCGTGGCTGGCCAGCTGTCCTGCAGTATTAGCCTCTTGGGGTGAGTAAGGGAGGGAGGAGAGATGAAGTGTCTGGGACCGTCTTGTGCTTTACGAGCCTGGGCCAACGTGGGCTGAAGAAAGTCCGTCAAGAGACGCATAAAATGAACAGCCTTGCCTTTGCTCAAGTACAGACGCTTGTGTCCTGTTTTGCCATGTGAATACTCCATTGAAATGATAGAATCTGCCCTGATTTTTCGGGCTCAGCTGGCTAGACGTATTGTGTAAAAATGAATTGATTCCTATTTTTCTCGCAGGCATTGTCAAATGAAAGGTCGACTTTCCTTTCGTTTTTTTCCACTGTGTTGCCATTGAGTCCCAAGGTTTAAAATGTGTTTCGTGACCCTCAGATCTTGAGTTATGTGCAGTCTTGGAGATGGCTGCCTGTTTCCTAATGTGCCAATTGAAGGCTTGAATGCAAAACAGTCAGAGGAAGTGCCTTGCAGAGTCTGCTATCTCTTGGAGGGGAAATAGACTGAGTCTATTTCCTTTGCAGTTCCAGTGACCCAGTGCATTGTTAGTTCAGATGTCAGCAGTCAGACTGAGTACGAAAAAAAAATACTAGACATGCAGTAACTGTTTTGGTTAAAATAGATCTCCATTTAAATTTGTTCAAGAAGAGTCTTTTAGGACCAGCATTTCCTTTTAGCTTTTGGCTGACTATTTTATCAAAGGTGCTAAAAGTACTGCATACAAATACATGCATGACTTTTTCCAGAATGGAGAGTAGTGTGGCCATTTGCAGTGCTCTTTTCACATGTAGGAGGAATCTTGTTAAAAGGCCGTGACCTAGGTTAGAGGGAATCGGGAATCATCAAATTCGATCTTGGTCCATTTGCCACGCTAAAGACTTTTGCGATAACGCAGGAGCATCTTCTCTGCAAGATAAGACTCCACAAGTGAGATCCATTCAGGACAGTGTGTTGCAGGTTTCATTTGTGAAAGTTGATGTCATGTTGTTAAGTCACATTTTTGACCCTTGTCACTTGCCAGTTCTGTTTTTTGACAGCCCCTGCAGTGTAAGGAAATTGTTCAGTCGAGTTTGCACAAGAAAAAATCGCTTGCAGTTTCGATAGCAAAAAAGCCATGTGGAATGAGCTTGCGTTTCCTACCAAGAAATGAGAAGGCAATCTGTTTGAGTAAAAATGTTGCACTTTTGAATGTGTAGCCCATCCTCCCTCAGTAAGACCCAGTGTCGTGACCTGAGATGGATCAGAGCTGCCCAGCTTTCAGTGCGGTCAAGCCCCAGAGGAAGTCCAGTTTTTACTTCTACTTCAGTTTTCAGTGACAGGCAGGTGACAGTGCTGAGTGACGCCACCGGTCTCGAGGACAGTACACCGGTCCAGGCCCTCTGTCGAGCAGCAGAGATTTAATCTCTGAGGTCTAGTTTCAAGCAAATGTAGCCCTTGGAGCCAGTCCCAGTTGAGATCTCCTCTTTAAATGTTGGCTTGTAATTGCCCAGCCTCACAACTAAACCATTGTCCTTTCCGCCAGCATGGGGATACAGCACGAGAGGAGACATTTCCATAAACAAGACTGTGTGACTGGGGCTGTTTCGGATTATTAGTTTGCATGTTTCTGTGGCTGGATGTGTTGCTATGGATATCTGCGTTTCCGACCTCTGACTGTAGTGAGCAGAGTTCTGGCAGCAAGAAGACAGGCATACGTTTCAAGACGATGATCCCCCAAATTAAAAAAAAAAAGTTAGTTTAAAAGCACAGTGCCTCCTGGAGGCTCACGTGCTGTTTGTTTGTCTTCCGTCTCCATGTAAGGCACGAGAGCTCTGCCTCCTGACATTGTGTAGTCGACCCATGATGCACTGCGTCTGGTTGGTCTCACAGGCCCTTCAGGAGTGCCTTCAGGTTTTCTAGGTCTTGAGAGCTGGGAGAAGTTGGTAAATTGGTTCATTTAGCCCAATAATCTGTTGATTTCAGTCATTAAGAGCAGAAATGTAATGAAGTGCAGGAAACACAAATACTGCTAGGATTAAAATTGGGCCACCCTGCATTCCACCAGTCTACCTGGTCCTACTGTGCTAGTGACTTGTGCATGTTGTTCTTGTTTGTTGATTTGCTTAACTTGGTCACATGCATAAGCTACTAAATTTAATGTAGCAGAGGTCAGTAAGGGGCTAATTACAGCCTGTCTCTCTCAGAGGCTAATTTCCTCTGCTTTGAGAGTTTGTTTGTTCCCTGATAGCAGTTTTATCCCAATAGTAAGAGGTTGTCATAAGACAGACAGAGAAAGGAGGCCACAGTGTTTTTTTTATGCGCTTGCAGACGCTGAAGTTCCACTGATTACTAATAACTGTTAAGAGATGTGGTTTCCACTGGAGCGCGACCTCCTCAAGACGTTTGCGGTGAGAGGAGTGTGGGTAACAGTCCCCTGAACCTACTCATAGCCCACAGAGAAACGAAGACATTGGTGGAGGATGGTTTTTAATCATAGTGCATTATATGTTTCACTTGCATGTGAATTGAAATACTTTTTGCCGCCTCCTGCTTACAGCATCTTTACCAGGATAACAGTCTTAGCTTGTTCTGTTACTTGATATTGGCTCTACTGGTCTTGGATGTGAATGGAATTATGCATGCTTTTGGCGCTTCTGTGAAAACTAGTTACTATATGGTTTAGACAGCTGTGTACTTATTTCACTGGTAGGATGATTTGAAACCGTGGAGGTGAAAGGTGTAAGAGTGCTGCATGCAGCACTTGTCCCTCTACTGCGGTCTTTTTTAATGCTTCTTTTCATAGCTTGTCATTCCACATTCCCTCAAAGCTTTACAGTACTTCAGCAGTTCTATCCATGTCTTTTCGTTGTCTTACCTTAGTTATTTTCTCCTTCTTTAAGTGCTCTAATGTCCAAGGCATGCAGTAGTTGTCTTTCTTCAGCTAATCAATCCTATAGATTTGGTTGTGTAGCAGCTAGCAGTGATTTAAAAATAGCAGCTGAGCCTGCTGTCCCAGGAGCACAGTGAACTGAATGCAGATCAGCAGGCAGCAGTGGTACTGGAGAGATTGCTGGCAAAGATATCCGATTAGCTTTCTTTGGTGCTTTCAGGCTTTCTCAGAATCCCTGTGCTGATCTGTCACGATCAGATCCTAAAGCAGGACGCTTCAGTCCTGGGTCTGCTGAGCCGGGTGTGTTCACCAGTTTAACTTCCCTGAGCTCCACCTCCTCAGGCTCTTGTGCTTTAAAGAGACCTGAAAGCTATACCAGCCCAGACAGGGTCAGTGAAAGCCTTTCTAGGCTTTTTTAAAGGAATTGCAAATTATTCTTTTAGTGTTCTAACAAATTTGGAATCTTCCAGTTGCTAAGGATGTGGTAGGACTGGTGTCCGGAAGGGTGGGGGGCTGGGGTGCCTCAGTGTATGAACCTGAAGTGTAATACTCCAGCAATCACTCTGCGTGAAGAAATGCACTTGGAAAACCAGAAATTAAAAAAAAAAAATCTTGAGGAATATACACTAGGTATAAAAAGGTCCAAAAGTTCCAAAATAAATTCCCTCATACACTTGAGACACTTTTCATCGCCCTCCAATCTGGAGATGCTGGTTGTTAGTAGACTCTGTTTTCCCCTGACATGCTCACTTCTCTGAGATGGCTGCCATCTCCCTGCTGCAGTGATGTGGCTCACCCAGGTAGCACCGTGGCGACACCCAGCCCAGATGGTGTTTGGTCAGCTGTGCATCAGCTGGGAGCCTCGAACCCGAGCCAGGGGTGTGGCTGCACTTCCCAAGCTTTTACATCGCAGTGGTGCCACACAATCAGAAAAGACTGCATTTCAAAAGTGTGAGGGCCTGTTCTGTGAAAGTAGCTCCCATTTCACATGATAATTCACATTACATATTTCTCATTGTAATTCTAAACTGTTTCAGTTTACACAGATCACTTAAGTTATTGGAGCTGTTTTTTAAAAGTAATTTGCTGTGCAGTGAAAAGTTTGGGTATATTAAGAATGTGCCGCGAGTTGAAAAAGATTAGAAAATGCTGCTGTAGATTAGAGAGTTTCTTGGGAGTATTTTATCTTTTATTAGCAGAAAAAATGGAGAGCTCAGTTTTTTTCTAAGTATGGCTGTTACTCGGACAGAAGCTGCAGCAGTTCAAATGCAGTCAGGATGCTCACAGCCCCTCTGTGGATGTTTTCTGCAGGATCCGGCCACAGATGGCGAAGGAGAAGATTGAGGGCTGTCATGTCTGCACGCTGGTGACGCCCGGGGAGCCCCAGGTGCTGCTGGGAAAGGACAAGGCCTTCACCTACGATTTTGTATTCGACATGGATGCTCAGCAGCACCAGATCTACTCCAACTGTGTGCACAAGCTGATCGAGGGCTGCTTTGATGGCTACAATGCCACTGTCTTCGCTTACGGTCAGGTGAGTCCCTGCCTCCTGTGTCTAACGAGTGCATATACATATGCTCCAAGATATGTGTATATTAGCAATATTGTAAATCATTATGCAAACAGGGAATATAATGCAAATCACACCCTATCGATAGCTTTTCTGTAAAAATGAGATGTAACCTAATACTGTAGCATGTCAATATTATAGTGTATGACTGTTTGTTGGGTAGACATCAGTAAGTGCACACTGTCTCATGGCCTAGATAAGTGTAAGCACTGATACCATTATAGAGTGTAAAAAATATCAAAAATCATTCCATCTTGGAAGGGCTGCAACAACTTGTGGGACATGAATAACCCAATTGATTTTTTATGTATTTATAGATAATGCTGTTTTTGAGTATCTTGTTCAATATTAGCCATGTTTATTACATCTAAATGAAGAGGAACAGCTATAACCAAGAAATGTGTATAATCTTTACATGCAAGTGGTTTGTCAGTGGGCTACAAAGGTGCTGCCGACCCTCTGATTTCTTTTTGTTGTTGTTTAGGAAAGCTGACGGGAATGTGTCCCTTCAAAACTGGGACACATTTCAAATATGTGCATTTATGCACCCCTTCCTCCCCCACACACACACTTTACTTATTCCTCACTGAGCATAAAGGGGATCGGCAGCCTCAATTTCTCAGACAGGTTATTAAACCTCTATGACAAAATAAATTAAATGAGGGAATAGAACATTTTTATGAATTCACAAATTTGTGCTTAATTTGAAACTTTGTGAAAGTACTTTATGGTCACCATTTTTGTCATAATCCCCTGGTCTCATCAAGGGCCAGAACAATAGCTCATGTGAACTGCGATTCGTAAGCCTGCTTGCTGACAACTTTTGTTGCCTCTTTCTGAATTGCAGAATATGGCGCTGCACATACCTGGAGATTTGCTCTATTTTGTGGTGTAAACTGCAGGTTTGACAAGTTACTGTGTACATTTTACTGTCATTGTGGGTTGAAATGCACTCATCAATGCTGAATTTATTAATAACCCCAAATCTAAAAATAGTGTTGCAGTTTCCCTTTTAGGGTGTTTTTTTAGTTCCCCTTTGGCCATTTTTCACACTTCACGATCAACTGCCATGGTGTACAAGCAAACCTGCATCTTGAAGCTGAGATGACTCAAATCAGTCTTGACGCCAGGAGTGTGCAGGTCCACAGAGGCTCTTTACGACGTGAGAGCAGCGGCAGATAGCATAGTTCTGAGGGCAGCAAAACACCATAACAGGAGCAGAAGCACTTGGGGGAAAACAACTGAGATGATGGAAATACATTCTGCAGTCCCTCCTAGACCCATCAGCAGCTCACCTTTACAGCGGAACAGAGGACTAACGCTAAAGCACTGTGCTGACCTCAGTGCGCCTCTGTGCATTTAACCATGAACACTCAACCAGGGGGTTCCTAGGGATCGAGAAAGCACTTGAAAGAAGCTTTGATTCCTTGCTGTATGCCCAGCGAGGCAGTTTCTCCGCGCCCTAAAAGCAGTAACGAGTGAGAAGTTTTGATTCCTGTTTGACCTGGGCGTCCATGTTCTCTTCGCAGACGGGTTCTGGGAAGACGTACACTATGGGGACTGGGTTTGACTTGAGTGTCTCTGAAGAGGAGCAGGGCATCATTCCGAGGGCTGTCCGACACTTCTTCCAGGGCATCGAACAGCGCAGGAGGGAGGCCCAGGAGAGCAACACCCAGCCCCCGGAGTTCAAAGTCAGTGCCCAGTTCTTGGAGGTGAGGATCTCTTCTCTTCATCCCAGCAGAAACGATGTAATAACTGTGGGGTGCTGCAGAGCGACAGTGTGGCAGACTGGGAAGAAAGGGGCTGAGGGTTTTTTACATTCTTGGACATTAAAGGTTTCTTTATAAACTTCTTTTTTTTATGTACCGTGTTCCTGTTTTTCTACCCTTCCAAATGTGGGGGTTCACATTGCAGGTACTGCCCTCCCAACATACACTTGTGCTGTTTTTCATTCCACGAGTCTTGCTACACCTTAAAGGAGATGCCATTACCTGACTGACTAACCCTAACTGAATCAAGCCCATCCATCCTCCAGGGCCCCTGTGCCAATGATGGGCCTCCAATTGAGGATCCCCAAACCCCCATTTTAATGAGTGGCGTCAGGAGTAAAGGATTTGGGCTGCAAGAACCACATGCTAGCCCCTTCATGGTGTGCTCCTAAAGACAGAAATTGTCTGCTGCTGTATTATAACTGCCTTTTCAGGGTGTGTGATCACCTCAAGACCATAATCGCAGATCTGATATCTACTCTGAAGAACAATAAATCTTAAAGAAAGGGATGGACAAGCTCCTATTTTTTTACACTGTCCATCATGGCAGTGTTATTAGCACAGGTGTGTGTTTACGTGTTTGTCTGAGCCTGGCATCTGAACTGCAATATCTGTCTGCAATGTCCTAGCTGTCTATTGGGCTACCACCCCCATTAATTTACTTAACTTCTGTTTCTGCAGAAATAAAATCTGAAAAAATAGAATTAGGGGAAAAAACTAATTGTCCACTTAAGAGCCAGACTGCAGCACTCCAGGAGGAGCGTGTCCAGTAGAATTCACTTGAGACTGTTGGCATAAAGAGGGGAATAATTGAGTTTAATTTTGACAAGCTGGGCAGTCACTGCTTTGCAGTGCCCTCTGGGAGCAAACTAATATCTTCTTATTGTCGGCTGTTCACACTGGATGTGGTGTTCAGCCTACATCTGTGGAATTGATCAAACTCATTTACCTTGTCTCTCTGCCTTTAGTCTTACACCAACTATAACATTTCATGTACTGTCTTCTCGGATAAATGTCTAATTGAATTGCAGCACTGCAAGAAGGGTGGTTTTAGTTTCAGTGATGCTTATTGCTATTTGTAAGACCTTTACGCTCTTTAGACTATCAAATATCACATTCCAGGCATATGATCAGATTGTTACTGGGCATTTCATAACACTGCTGGATCCTGCATCTATCTTAGGGCCTCATGTTGTTCAGTAGCCTTAGATGGGTTATTTCTGACTGTGAGATTAGAAATTCTTCAGCCAAACTTGTAATAATTTTTCATTAAATGTTGTAAGATTAATATCAAGCCTTCAATTATTATGCTTCTGTGCATGTGCTCATTAGCTTTCAGTATGTCCGTATGTTGTTTGTTTGCACCCTATATTAGTTGCTTGTTAAATTTTAGGGTTTTTAGGTAGTAGATGGACAAAAAACCTTAATATTCTGTTTTTTGTCCACTGCTGTTACTCTTATTTTTCTCCAGGCATTGTCCATAGTATTATAACTGTTTGAGCTAGGATTATGGTAAAGCAGTTCAGGCTCCTTGCTGGTGATGAAAGGCGATGCATACGTATGTGTTGTTGTAGTCATTCTCTGCAGTGAGTCTGCTTGTTTTTCCCGCTTTCAGCTGTACAACGAGGAGATACTGGACCTGTTTGACAGCACGCGTGATCTTGACGCTCGGGGCAGGAAGTCCAATATTAAAATCCACGAGGACAGCAATGGGGGAATCTACACCACGGGGGTCACTTCTCGGTTGGTCAGCTCAGAGGAAGAGGTGAGTAGGGAGGCAGTACGACAGGTGATGTTCCCCTCTGGGGTCTTCTCTCCACTGACATCTTTGTCATCTTGTACCCGATGGGATATTCTTCTGCTGGTTCTCTTCAATCTGATTTCTTGTCTTCGGGCAAGACTCAAAGCTGCATTTAGGACTAATTTCCCCGTCTTTTTCTTCGTCCTATTCAGCTGCTGCAGTGCCTGAAGCTGGGAGCCTTATCCCGCACCACAGCCAGCACGCAGATGAACGCCCAGAGCTCCCGGTCGCATGCCATTTTCACCATCCACCTCTGCCAGATGAGGGTGTGCAAGCAGCCGGAGATGGTCAGTCATTTGCTCTGTGCCGCAAACCCCAAAAACGCAGACACCAACATGTCTATATACACTATATACAGTAGTTCATACGTAAGATCAAGGAATGTCCACCAGCTTTAAGAACTGTTAGTGTAGCTTGTTCCAGCCTCCCGTAACTGTAAAAGAGTGCCTCCTCTGTTTTATATGCACATCCATGTAGATTTAGTTTGTGTCCTAATGAATGTCACATGTATTGAGCATGGATGTGAAAATGTAAAGAATATGTATAACTGCATAGTAATTTCATTATTTACCCCAGATTAGGATTTTACTCTTTCGGTACACGTTTCGGTACTGTTAAGTACACTTAACTACTTAAGACGAAGCAAGTTGCTAAACTGTTCTTGTTTAAGCTGGGAATGAGTTTGATTGATCCAAAAAAACGAGGGGGGCTCTGTTTCAGGCAGAGCAACACTTATGTCTGAGAGGCATTTGCTTTCTTCTCCAGCTGTGATGTCGGTCTGATTTTCCGTGCTGGGGTGTTTTTCAGATGAACGGAGAGGTGAACGGTTTGTCCAATGGGCCCATCGCGCAGCCCGAGTACGAGACGCTGATGGCCAAGTTCCACTTTGTGGACCTGGCAGGATCTGAACGGCTGAAACGCACGGGCGCCACGGGCGAGCGTGCCAGGGAGGGCATCTCCATCAACTGTGGCCTGGTAGGACCCCCTTCCTCTGCCCTCCCCGATGAACTGTGTAGGAATAACACACCAGGGCAGGGAGTTAGAGGTCCTGATTCTGTGTCTGACTCTGTGCACCTGTGCCTTGCAGCTGGCCCTAGGTAACGTCATCAGCGCTCTCGGGGACCAGAGCAAGAAGGGAGGCCATGTGCCATACAGGGACTCCAAACTGACCAGGCTGCTGCAGGACTCCCTGGGAGGAAACAGGTACTGCACATTTAAGAAACACACAGGCTGTGGGGCCTCTTGGTTGCCATGACTGAGTGCAGGCTGAGCTCTAAGAATGTGGGTTCAGGTCTAGGAGCCTGGGGCTTGTTACTACCCGACTGTGACTGGGATTTGTTCAATTGGGTTTATGCCACCCGGGGTAGGGTGAGGAGCCATTGGGCAAGAACTCTCTTAGCAGCACAGTAACCCCTGCAGCCTGATAGGCACGAGAAACGTACGGTTGTGGGGGGAGGGGTCTGAGGGCTTCAGCGACCTGTTCTAGGTCGACCTGTGCTGTCTGTGAGGGTTGGGCCTCTCCTCCAGACACCGCTGAGCCTTCTCACTGGGTGTGTGTTGCCTGTCTCAGCCGCACTGTGATGATCGCCTGCGTGAGCCCCTCGGACCGGGACTTCATGGAGACACTCAACACTCTGAAGTACGCCAACCGCGCCAGGAACATCAAGAACAAGGTGGTGGTGAACCAGGACAAGACGAGCCAGCAGATAAGCGCCCTGCGGGCCGAGATCGCAAGGCTGCAGACAGAGATCATGGAGTACAAGACGGTGAGGGGTGAAACATTGCCATAGTGTTGGTGATAGTGTGCTTCTTATCATCTTCACTTATTACAGGTTTGCATGCTGCCTGTTTGCTCCCGTTAATGCTTTTAGTTTTTAATTTAAAAAACTTTTGATTTAAGTCAAACCTGTAATTGTTTAACTGTAATAATAATTAATAATTGCTTACACTTATATAGCGCTTTTCTGGCCACACCACACCACAGGTAATGGGGACTCCCCTACACCACCACCAATGTGTAGCATCCACCTGGCAGCCATAGTGCGCCAGAACGCTCACCACACATCAGCTCTCAGTTGGGAGGAGAGCAGAGTAATGAAGCCAATTCATAGATGGGGATTATTAGGAGGCCATGATTGGTAAGGGCCAATGGGGAAATTTGGCCAGGATGCCGGGGTTACACCCCTACTCTTTTCGAGAAACGCCCTGGGATTTTTAATGACCACAGGGAGTCAGGACCTCGGTTTTACGTCTCATCCGAAGGACGGCGCCCGTTTACGGTATAGTGTCCCCGTCACTATACTGGGGGGCATTCGGACCCACACAGACCGCAGGGTGAGCGCCCCCTGCTGGCCCCACTAACATCTCTTCCAGCAGCAACCTTAGTTTTTCCCAGGAGGGCTCCCATCCATGTACTGACCAGGCTCACACCTGCTTAGCTTCAGTGGGTTTCCAGTTGTGAGTTGCAGGGTGATATGGCTGCTGGCTGTAGTGGTCTAACTGTAGTGGTGGAGAGGTGGTTAACTGTAGATTCGTGAAAAGTTTTTATTTTACATGTATACCTGGCTTTGTTTTTCAGTTAGGATGTTTCAAGTGATCACGAGTTAGTGAAGAATGCTGTGCATAAAAAATATTAATATAAATTGCCTGTTCTCCCCTCCCCCCTGCACTTTAGGGGAAACGTGTGGTCGGAGAGGATGGGTCTGAGGGCTTCAGCGACCTGTTCCAGGAGAACTCCATGCTACAGAAGGAGAACGACACTCTACGGATGAGAGTAAAAGCCATGCAGGAGACCATTGATGCACTCAACAACCGCGTCACGCAGCTGCTCTCCAATGAGGTCAACCTCCTCTTGGCCAAGACTGGTGAGCGCCCCCTGCAGCCCAGTAAACCACATTACAACAATCTGAGCTGTTGCTGGTGTGCCGCTGTGGCTAATGTCCCTTGAAATCACTCCAGGCTCACCGGATTAGACTAGATGTGTTGCTCCTGTTCTCTGTGAAGACCCCAGTATACAAAACTTGAGTTTGTAATGTTTTTACCTCTTCAAAAAATCATTTTAATTCCTGTTCATAGCAAAACTTAACATTGAAATAACTCCTACCTTCAGGCGCTTTAAGAGATTCACAGTAGAATGGTCACGTCAAAACCTTTTCTTAATGATATATTCTGTGCATGACAATTACTGGTGTATCGTCTGATCCCTGTCCCTTTATTCTGGAATAGTGTCGGATAGTAGTTGTGGCGCAGGCACACTAATTTTCCTTCACTTCCTTAAGAAAACAGACCAGGATCCTTTCATCACAAATCTGAAAGAGAAAAGGGTGCCCCAACAGGGGCAGTGGGAAAACACCTTTCTGCTAAATGGTGCTAAAAGTTTTATAAATTCACGAGCTGTCTCCTTTCGTCTTCAGGGGATGGAAATGAAGAGATTGGAGCCCTCATCCAGAATTACATCCGAGAGATCGAGGAGCTCAGGTAAGTCTGTTCTAAAAGATTTATTTGAGCTGTTATAATTCCTTATATTTTTTGGTGAGGGGGTAGAACTCACAAAATAGCACAAAAGTATCAGTCTCTACCTTGCCCTGTCACATGCGTGAAAGTAACTTACCCTGTGAAGTTCTATCGCTTTTGAAAAATCATGAAGAAGAGAAGGTGCCGGGTGCCCAGTTTGTTGAAAACCTGTTGTGAAAGGCAGCCATGTCCCACAGTGCCAGCTGATGGAGGCTCTCTCTGTCTCCGTGCGTCTCTCTCTGACAGGTCCAAGCTCCTGGAAAGCGAGGCCATGAACGAGTCTCTGCGCCGCAATGTGTCGCGCCTCTCGGCCCGCTCGCCCTACCCTTCCTCGCAGGGGGCCAGCCCCGGCCTGCCCGCAGGCAGCTCGCCCTGCGTCTCCATGGAGACGGAAGTGTCCGATGTCATCCGCCGGGCGAAGCAGGACATCGAGAGGCTGAAGAAGAAAGAGCGAAAACAGAGGAGGAAGAGGTATGGAGCCCTGAACTGCAGTGGAAGATGTTAGGGAATTGGGGTCCCCAGACTCTCTACTGGGGTACCTCTTTGTCAAAACTGACAACCAATGAAATAACTTTACATACACCTTGACACAACCCAAACATCACTGTATCACCCCTGCAGAGTCCCAGATTTTCAGTTAATGACTTTTCCATGAGAGAGGACCGATGATGGATTTTCCTGTTTTTGGGGGGCTTTGTTGGTTGGCCTTTTAAGAACCTAATTACTGTTTCCAGTTTTGGTCACCAGAATATTTAACTGCCAAAAGCATTAGTGAAATACAGAATGACTCTCTTTCGAGTGGGGTTAAAAAGGAACCCTCTAAAATGTGTGCTTCTGTAAGCACAAATCTAAGCAGGGGAGTGTATGGTGAGTGTAAGTCTGCCAATTCAAACTTTAAGTTGGAATCATTATACCTGGCCTGATGTGCGAACAGCATCATAAGGGATGCAATCTGAGTTCACTAAATGTACAGGGTGTGTTCAATATCTTGAGCATTTTTCTGTGACGATATGATGGAGCACAGGCAGCCCATTAGAAAAACAAAGGAGTATCATTAAATTCTGAACTCAATGCACTGCTCCTGACTCGGCAATACATTTAGTCATTAACAGTTCCCAGACATCACCCCCTGTCTGATGTGTGAGTTTTATGATGAGGCGTAATGTCAGAGCGCATAAACCTGTCTCTGCTCCAAAAGATTAATAAGAATGACTGTACCCATCATGCTTTAAAAGTGCATTTGCGAGTCTGGCTTATGTGCAAATGGTGCACTGTAAATCTGCACCGTCCCTTAAAGTATCGTTGAAAGGTGGTAGATTACAGATCGTTTAAGTGTAATTAATTCTGCTGTTATTGTGAGAGGGCAACCTACCGAGTAGGGGGTGCTGGGAAATTAGCCTGCAGAAGCTTAGATTGTGCAAAATCACTTATACGCTTAAACACCCTTCCAAAGTCAAACTTGCAAGCTCAGTACAGAATAGCACTGCAGTTAGTCAGGCAAGCTGATATAAAGTGTCATACTGCACTGATTTAAAGATCAGAAATTTTCCCTATGTTCTATAAGAAAATGAAGAGGAAGATGATAAAAATCAGAATATCTCCTACATAGGCAATGGGATAACAGTGCATGGGCTGTGTGTATTGTCTTTTTGTCTCTTATGATTTGAACAGCATGGAGACGGGCTGCTCCAAATGGGTATAACAGGGGTGGAATAGTATGGTAAACAAGCATTGACATTTGTGCACACTGTGCATTTGTGTTAACATTTACCTTGATTATTCTGTGGTAGTTTAGTGCCCACAAGTGCTGTGTCTGGTCAGTCAGTAAACCAGCCCTGTTCTGCTGTCCCCAGTCCAGAGAAGGAAGGGCTGAAGAAGAGAGCCAAGCTGCAGCCACAGGAAAACGGGGAGGTGGACTCAGATGACAACGACCTGGAGGTCAGTGCACTGGTGATGGAGACAAGGAGAATTTCATTCAGTTTTAATCCAGGCTAGAAGAACACAGTTGATTGATATTGCTTTGGGTGGCGGAAGTGAAGAGTGTGTGCGACTGTGGAGGCATCATTCGTGTGTGCTGTATCTGCCCCCCGCCAGGAGGAGCAGGAGGAGAGTGGCTGCGACGAGGAAGAGGAGGAAGAAGAGGGCCGGGAGGACGAAGAGTTTGAGAGCGAGGAGAGCCTGGAGGACTCAGATTCCGACTCTGACGAGAAAGGTCAGCCATGGGGGACGCCTACTGAGGGGGATGAAACAGAGGGAGTGGGGGGGGTGTCTGCTCCTTCTCCACCTTTGCTCATTAAATTCACAACTACCGTCACTGCAGTCAAATTTGCCCATTTTCGACATTCTCCAACATCTTCCCCTGCCTGGTGTTTTGGGATTTTAGATGTAATTGATCTATGCACTGAACACCTGGTCAGAAACGAAACCTGATGTTCTGATAAGCGTTATTATAGACATGCATTTAGTAAAATACACCCCATCTGTGAACCATGCAGGGTTGCTGTTGCCCTCCACACCTTCCTATGTTTAGCACTTAGTGATATAGGAACGACAGACTGTGTATTAGGTTCTGTTTTGTCCCAGCCTGCTGTGAACAAATGATTTAACCAAATATTCTCTCTCGTTGGGGTTTCAGCGAATTTCCAGGCGGATCTGGCAGAGCTGACCTGTGAGATCGAGATCAAGCAGAAGCTGATCGACGAGCTGGAGAACAGCCAGCGCCGCCTGCTGACACTGAAGCTGCAGTATGAGGAGAAGCTGATCCAGCTGCAGAACAAGATCCGCGACACCCAGCTGGAGAGAGACCGCGTCCTGCACAACCTGAGTAAGGGCCACGGGATAGGGACCAGGGTCCAGGACCATGTCGGAGAAACAGCATTGCAAGGGAAGGGCAAAAGAGAAGACGCATCCCATATATGAAAAAATAACACAGTCTGAGCTCCATGATCATAGCTTTAAGGCAGGGTTGTGACACTAATCGACTGTGACTGGGATTGCCCTAGCAGTAAGAGTGCTGACAAGTGTAGGGTGGAATTAGTTTGCCAGAGCTCTTGGGTCTTTGTGACCCCTGTGGCTTTCTAGGTGATTTCAGGCATGCGGTGCCGTTGGTGAGGGACGCATTCCTTTGATTGACAATAAACCTTGGTGCTTGGTGCTGTGTTGCCTGTAACGTGTTCAGTTGACTTAAAGCAAGTTGGAGGAGTCTGCCTACACTTCCTCCTTTTCCCGTGTGCGGTTGCAGGGTTTGTAGCCCAGAGTTGAGATGTCAGAAACACTCCACTGGCAATTGCAGCAATTTTCATTTTTAGATACAAGAACTTAGTGTAAGGGATAGGGAAAGTACGCGTCTTGTTCACAGACAATCGTTTATGCAAATAAATAATGAATAATGCAAAGGTTAAGTTCCCAACACACTTTGTGGAGGCTACTGCATAGTGATTCAGCATGCAGCTCAGCTCCAGACGGCATCTGTTACTTACAGTTTGGTCTGGTGGGAAGCTCTGATTGGGACTCTAGTTGTAATTGCACGCCTCTGCCTTCCTTCTCTTGCAGTGTCTATGGAGAACTTCACAGAGGATAAGGCCAACAAGGTGAAGTCGGAGTATGAGAAGCGCCTGAAGGAGATGAACAGGGACCTACAGAAGCTGCAGGCCGCCCAGAAGGAGCACGCCCGGCTGCTGAAGAACCAGAGCCGCTACGAGCGCGAGCTGAAGAAGCTGCAGGGAGAGGTGGCCGAGATGAAAAAGGCCAAGGTGAGGGAGGCCAAGGCAGCAGCAGGTCATTCTCTCATACAGAAATGGGTATATGGCAGAGACCATTTTCCCATTGGAACTGTATCTGATTTGCCAGACTTGCAGTGTTATAATTGTACACGAGTCCCCTGCAGTCCAGAGCACACTACTTCAGCTGCCCCCTTCGAATTCCACCAATCCAAGAGCTGGTATTTTCCACTGAGATATTTTAGTTGGCTACTGCAAAGCTATAATCTGCCATGTCCAAGTCGAAACAGGGAATACATAAGTCAGAGGTAATGTTTCAAATGTCCTTTTTTTGTTGGTATTTCTGTGCATAACCATAATGCATTCAGTCAAAGCCAGTACTCCAGGCCTGAAATGTGAGGGTGATTTAATGCGTGGGGGAAAAACAATTCCCTGGTACATTATCTGTGACTCAGCCCCCAGAAGCAAAAGCAGCTGTATCTCTTGAGAGCAGGAAAATTGTCCAGTCTTCCCACAGCACTTCCATCACTATCTGTGCAGATATCAGGTGTGGTGCTCAGTCACCAGATACAGCTCTTTCTTTTCTGCTCTATCTTGACTTGTTGCGGTTATTTTGATTGTATATTATTGAACTGTGGCATTGTGTAGTCAGGGTTGTCCTCCGCATGAAAAGCTTGCCCTGCCAGACTTGGAAGTGGTAGCATGTGTGGAGATGTCTGCCATGTTGATGGGTTATTCCACACGGTCCTCCACCCACAGGTGGCGCTGATGAAGCAGATGAAAGAGGAGCAGCAGAGGCGGCGGATGATCGAGGCCAAGAGGAACCGTGAGATTGCACAGCTGAAGAAAGAACAGCGCCGCCAGGAGGTGAGCTCTGATACTGAATATGCATCTCCCCAAAATGTATGGGGGTTATTGTCATTTCAGACAATATTAGTCCATGTAACCCCTTGACACTTTTTTCAGGCCACAATTTGGAGTTTTAACTGTTGGACCTTTCACCTAAGGTGGAGTGATGCTGCTTTACAGTAAGGAGCTAGAAATCGTTGCTCTGTCCTGATGTGTATCTTTTATACATTTATAGTATCAAATTCGGGCCCTGGAGTCACAGAAGAGGCAGCAGGAAATAGTGCTGAGGAGAAAAACGCAGGAGGTATGTTGGAACTACAGCTGACCTGTAGTATTCCATATTTTCTGTACTTGTTGTACTTCAAAAAGACAATTAGCAGCCATTGTGACTTAATAAATCCTAATGTAACAACTAGGGTGTAATACGTTCTTTATCGTTATTCACCATAACTAAATCATTTTTTAAACTAAATCATTTTTAGTATTATAATTTATAATATAATTACATTCATGTCCAGTCTGCTGAAAAGAATATTGTGTCTTTCAACTGTTAGTGAAATGCTCTGTCATATGTCAGACTTGCACACACATCGGTAAACTGCAGCCCAGAAATGCAAGTTAAACAGGCTCGGGGATTAGTGATCAGCATCACCTGTGAGCTCTGCTTGAGGGATTGACGAGGGAAAACAAAAGCTGTTGCTTGTAGTCTGGAGTTGGTGTTTTCAGCAGGGAACTGTAAGGGGTCAGAGTTTTGAGGGATATCACATGACTTCAGGTAAACCCCGATAACACAGAGCTCGAGTGATCTCATAGCCCCGCCGTCCCCCTGTCCCTCGCTCAGGTGACGGCCCTGCGGCGCCTGGCCAAGCCCATGTCGGAGCGCGTGGCCGGGCGGGTCCCCCGGCGCCTCCAGCCCCTGGACTCGGGCGCGGAGCTGTCGGCCAGCACCACCTCCTCCGAGCCAGAGTCGGCCCGCTCCGTCTCCAGCATCGTGCGGCAGTGGAACAACAAGATCAATGGCTTCCTGGGCGAGAGCGAGCCGGCTGTCAATGGAGCACGCACGCCCAGGTCAGACGGCCAGCCCAGTGTGTGTATGTGCCTGCGGCTAATGTCTGTGTGCCTCCAGTTGCGTTATTATACCCACGGCAGTTTCTTTCCTTGCGTCTTGAGTTCAGTGCCCAGGTTTCCAGTGCCTGTATTGGGTGTACTAACAGTTAAGGACAATACTTAGTCACCAAGTCTGTAAATCAATGGTATTAATAAACAGAATTACTTGAAAATGTGAAAAGGAGCCATTTAAAGTAATTGCTTATAAAAAAGAATGAAGTTTGAGAAGTCTCGGCTTATTTACAAGAAAATATTTTGTGAAATGTGTGGGTGCTGGTGTCTTCCGTTGGAGTCGGAGGCTGTAGAGCTTGTGCCCTAGCAGCGATCCGGGTGGGGTGTGACCGATCGTTCTCTCCGCCTGTCGGCTCGCAGGAAGAAATTCCAGAGGAAGGGGGTGGCCGGCAGCTTCTCCAAGACGGCTCGTCAGAAGTGGCAGGCCCTGGAGCGCAGGATCATGGACATCGTCATGCAGAGGATGACCGTCATCAACATGGAGGCTGACATGGACCGCCTCATCAAGGTACCGGCCCTCTGGCGGCTGTCTGTCTCCTGGCTGGGAACGTCAATGTGCCCTTTCCTGCTTCTGCCCTGCATACATTCACCTCTAGGCGTCCCTGATCATGAAGCTGTTAGTCACATTAGCACCCATTTTTGAGGTTTTATACTTTTAAGTTATTATCTATTATCTATTATCTATTATCTATTATCTATTATCTATTATCTATTATCTATTATCTATTATCTATTATCTATTATTATTATTATCCATTACACTTATATAGCACTCTTCTGGAAACTCCAGTCAAAGCGCTTTACAGGTAATGGGGACTCCCCTCCACCACCACCAATGTGTAGCCCCACCTGCATGATGTGATGGCAGCCATAGTGGGCCAGTACACTCACCACACACCAGCTCTCAGTGGGGAGGAGAACAGGGTGATGAAGCCAGTTTATAGTTGTAAGAAACATTAATATCTGCTGGACAGATTGGTACAGTGCATTAAGTATGCAAAAAGCTCATAATGATGAAATAAGTTAAAAGCTGGCTCGAGTCCTCCTGTGTGTGATCTTGCTGGAGTGCTCTTTGTATTGGGAATCTTCACTGTTATTGTCTGTTATTTTTACACAGAGATTGTCAAAATGGCTGTTTGGCACGATGCGATTGCAATTCTGAGAACCCGCCCTGGGTCCCGCTGACGTTGTTTCGTTCTTGGGCGCTTCCTCCTCCCTAGAAACGCGAGGAGCTGTCTGTCCAGCAGGAGGCGCTGCTGCGGAAGCGGGAGAGGCTGCTGAGCGACTCCCCGGAGGAGGAGGAGAGGCTGCTGCAGGAGATGAACGAGGAGATCGAGGTGCTCAACGCCAACGTCGACTACATCAACGACAGCTTGTCCGACTGCCAGGCCACCATCATGCAGATCGAGGAGACCAAGGCAAGGGCAGCGCTGGTTCCCCTGTAGCAGCCCGACTGCAGCTCTTCTCACAGTATGCATGAGCCCTGTCCTGCTTAACTGCTTAACTTCAGCAAGTGCACAGTCTCATTTCTTCTCTGTGGAGTCTTTATTAGTTTATTTGTTAGTTGCAAATCTGCCCTTTTTCTGGGGACAAAATATGAGCTAGCAGGCTCTTACTGTCTTATAGACTCGACTCTACATCTGGGTAAAGTGTAATGTCAGGAGAATCTTCCAGCATGCTTGTTTGAAAGACTCTGCAGGCTTTTTTTCATTCTGGTCTCTTAAAATGAAGAGGGAGACTTTGAAGGGAAAAAAATGTGGGAAATTTAGTAAAGCCAAAAATTTGTGGAGAGAATGTGCGGGCTGGGTGTCGGTTGACTTCTGTGGAGGTGCTGGGTTGAAGGTCACCAGGCGCCGTCTCAGTGCCGTGCTCTCCTACAGGATGAACTGGACTCTGTCGATACGTCCGTAGTCATCAGTTCCTGCTCCCTGGCTGAAGCCCGCCACCTGCTGGACCATTTTCTGAAGGCCTCAATTGACAAGGTGAGCAGACAGGAGACGCCGGGTATGTTCAGACTAGGAAAGGCACTAGGATCCAGTGTTCATAGGTGTGCGATACATTCTGCAGTATAAAAGATACCGAATGTCTTTTGGAATGCTTCCCTTTAGCATCTCAAAAGGTGAGGAAATGTTTATTGGTGTAAATACAGTAAGGGCATATTCTTATAACTAGAGGAGAGAATTCCTAGGTTGCACTGCATGGCCAAGTACTGCCAGGACATAGTCCAAAATTATTTCAACTTTTCAGAAAAAATAATAAAATATGCACTTAGCTAAGGTTTTCTCCCTTGTGGTGTGTGCAGGGACTGCAGGTGGCTCAGAAGGAAGCCCAGATCCGGCTGCTGGAGGGGCAGCTGAGACAGACGGATGTGATTGGCTCATCTCACAACCACGTGATTCTGGATGCTCTCAGAGAGAAGGCTGAGTGCAACCCTGAGCTGCAGGCTCTCATTCACAACGTCCAGCAGGGTCCGTCTTCTCAATCCCTTCAGCTTGCTTTTCTGCTCTCTACCAGATCTCCTCTTCTACTCTTTTAATTCTCTTTTTCTACCCCTCCTCCACTCAAAAATGCTAGATGCAGTATGTATTTTGGAGCCTACTGATGCAGGCTATACTGTTATGCCTTTGTTTTAAGCTGATCTGGATACCAGGAGATTTGAGGAAGCAAGTCCAAGGCAACTTAGTTCAATACTTGATTGCTGTTACAATCAGTTGCATGGAATATGGTTTGATACAATTAAATACATCCAATACAAAAATACAACATGTGCTTTTAAATTCCTTGCGGGCACTCATGCCCAAGCAGTTTTGTCTGTGTATTACAGTGAAAGCCACTTGGAAACCCTGCAGAGCGATTTACTGCCAGTGAGACAGGAGTCTATCACCATCTAGTGGTCAGCTTTGAGAGTATGTGTGAGAGAAAGTAGACACTCAGGGAGTGTTTGTGTCTCTCCACAGAAAATGGCTATGCCAGTACCGATGAGGAAGTGTCAGAATTCAGCCAGGCGTCCGAGGGCAGGTGAGCAATAAGAGATTGTTTTAGGAAATCGGATGGTGATGTTTAAAATTCTTAAAGGGATCACCAAAGTGAAGTCAGACCTTCTCTTCAAACCCAGGGTGGAGACCAGGACTACAGAGTGTTAACAAAGATTTAGTGCCTTTACAAGGTTTTTTAATGTGTTCCTATATAATGGACAGCACCTTTCTGACCAGGTGTCATTTAATGAGTGACCACCAGCACTTTCTCTGTTGTCTAAAGTGCAAAGAGTTAAATGGAAAGAACTGAATACAGCGTACAGAGATTGCTGTTTCTGTTTAATAGTATATTAATTTTTGAATTGAATTGACTTGACTGAATAAACATGGAGCTGATTCTTGATTCTCTAATCAAGAGTTCTCAGTATAGTTTTGAACTATATTTCGAATTTATTTGACATCATTCGCTCTCAAATTACCAACGTCTTTTAACTTTCTGATTAAATGTATGGAAGAGATTACCGATGTGTCATAGTCAGCCTTTTGGAACGGTCATGAAGGCTTCTGACATTCTTGAAAACAGTTTCTTTGTCAAGCAAGGGCTTGATTGGAAATAGCTCATCAACACAATATCCAGCGATGGCTCAGCTTCCATCCTGGGAAAGAGCTCTGGATTTTCCTCCCTGGTGCATCACTGTCTCACTGCTTCTCATACTGTCATGACTCTGGAAGATGTCAAGTAGTCAACTTTATTCCTGCCAGAGCCCTGAACCCATCAAACCATTATACAATTCTTTATGGTTGTTTTGTCTTGGTTTGAGGAAATGCAATGCAATCAAAATGCAATGTGTTATAAATACCTGTTTTTACATATTATATTGATATTATGTAAAAACGGTTTAGCATAAATTACGAGAATATAATGCTTTGCTGTAAGGGGTGCAGGACCTCTAAAAGGTTAAAAATCTGTGCTCTAGACTGCTGTTTCAGTAAAGTGTGTTTGGGGGTGTAGAGGTGGATTTTTGAGCCTTTCTCTTTTTCAGTTTCTCACAGTCATACCAAATGAAGGTTTCAGCCAGTCAAGATGACTTCAAGCAGAAGGTAAGTGCTTCAGGCCCTTCCAGTTTGAAGATGTTTGGCCTGTCTGGGCTCCTGTGGTATTTCTTTGTGATTCTTGTCTTGTTTTCTCACACCCTTATGAGGGTGCGCCGAATTAGTTGCCGCTGCTTCAGCTTTTCCATCAGGAAATTCCCACTTGATGTGATTGTTGTGTTCCTCCCTGTCTTGGCTTGGCTGTCCCTTCACTCCAGCAGTTTTCTCTGACCGCTGTCCCCCATACTCCGCAGGGGGAGCCCCGGCTCTCTGCCCAGATGAAGGCGGTGTCGGCGGAATACTTAGGCCCTTCCCTGGACATATCCACCAAGAACATCACCAAGTCCCTGGCCTCGCTGACCGAGATCCGGGAGAACGGCATGGGCTTCTCCCTCCGGGACCCCTACTATCGGGACAAGGTGTCGCGCACGATCAGCCTCCCCACTCGAGGAAATACCTTGTGAGTGAACAACCTGTCTGCACAGAGAAAGGCAGCTGTGGTATGGCAACAAGCACAGGACAGAGCACAAAACGGACCACCTCCAACACTTGACAATGTCTGCACATTGCAGGTGTATGAATATGTGTACTGTGTAAAGACTTGTGCTGTTGCAAGAGGATGGGGATGAGCTGCCATTGGAATTTTTCTCATATTGTGGTATACAAAAGCTATTTCATGCTCTTTAAGCAGGACTGTTTCAATCATTGACTTCTAATTCTACCAAAAGCTCTACAGAACAATACCACCCCCTCTCTCCCCCTGCGCTCTACATTGGGCCAGCAGTCTGTGTGATGTCCTGAGCTCACTGTCTTCTACCTGTGTGTCAGTCCCAGGCAGTCCAGGGGCTCTGACACGTCTCCGCTGATGCGAAGGAAGTCGTACGATCGTGGACAGCCCTACAGGTAACCGTCAAACCCCATCAGTCCCATCTGCTCTTTGTGAACAAAGTGTTCCATTCTCTCCCCTTGACACTCAGCGGTTAGTAGCATCTACACCCTGGGCTGCTCCAGATGTCAACACTCACTTCAAAATGTTTTCTTATGAGGTGGGGTGGAAACTAAGGGACTCTTAGATCCCACTCGGTTCCATTCATTTGCCAGCATTTTTCTTCTAGACAGAAGCACAGCTACAGTATATTATGCTTTACTGGTGCAAAAATACCCACAGTATGGACAGATGACTTCTTTCAGTCTAAAATGTTGTTCAGTTGTCTCTTCCTTTCACTGCTCATTCTTCTGTAATGTGGGAGTTCCCATTCCTTGTACCTGTTGGATTTTATATGTGGCAACACATTTATTCTTGAACAACTAATAGCAGCTGAACCAAATTGTTACTGTATATAAGCGTTAATCATTGAATTACCCAGTTAATGCCATCTTCATGTCTGAAAGGCTCTTAACGTGCTTTCAATTCAGATAATTGTGAAGCCTTGGGAAGTGTTCATATTAAGCATTTTCCCTTCCATTTGGGCAAGATGTTCATTCAATTTTAAGTAAATTAGATGGCCTGTTTGTCTGGAATTTGCCCAGAGGGAATATTGGGCTCTAAGCATTTTTGGATGTTTACCAATATAATTCTTCTTAGGATTATCTATCAGACACTCTTGAATTTTCTGGTATTTTGTACTACTTTTTCTGAGCACATATGTTTTAACTGTGCGTTTTAGACTCGCTGGGAGCAGAATCTTTTATTTTTTTTTGCACGGACCATTAATGCTGTCAGACATGATTACATCAGTGTCTCGAGTTCCCAGACCTCCGGCTGATTATGACTCCTCAGCTTTTGCCTCCTCGAGGCTCCGCTCACTTCCTGCTCCTCCTCCTCCTCTGCTCCTCAGGCCTGCTGACGTGGGGTACACCCCTCCTTCCTCCCCACCTCTGAGACCCCGAAATGACCGCAATGTCTTCTCCCGCCTCACCAGTAACCAGAGCCAGGGCTCGGCGCTGGACAAGTGAGTTTGTGCGGCCTCCTCTCCCCGCTCCTGCTCTGACGCGCGCGCCTAGGAGTGCCCTTTGTGTGACGCGCAGTAAACCGCAGCGGTAGCCCATGCCAGTATGACTTCTGTCACCTTTGTTTTTCCAGGTACCAAAGCAGTGGGGGGGGGGAATTGTTTTATTGCTGAAGCGACTTCCTAGCGAATGCAGGAATTGAAGTTATTTAAGCAGACTTGTCATGAAGGGCCCATGTCTCCAATCATTAGTTTGCCATGCTTGAGGCCATATCAATAGATCTCCTTAGAAGTGGATTTTTTTTAAATGCATTTGCTGACCATCCAGTCATGCATTTAATTTTTTTTTTTTTTGGCTTTGCCTACTCGTTCATTCTTTTTCCTCCTTTCCCTCACTCACAGTTGCCTACCAGAGGATGGAGTTTGGTGCTGTTTAAACGGGTGGGCCAGCAACATGTCTGGGTTTCTCTTGTCTCAGAGATGCTGGGGTTAGGAAGAGGCAGATGATCTAGTTGTGGGTGGAGAGTATTATATCAGCTACGTGACATGGTTACATTTAAGACAAAGTCTCTTCAATTTCACCCTTTTTTATTTTATTTAATTTACTTTTAAGTTTTCTTCCATCGCTCAGTTTTGCCTTTATGAGGGTTTGCTACAGTGGGCACTGGATCTTGTTGAACAAAGGGTTCAGGAGCTTGCGGTTGTGATAAACAAGTTGGCGCTGCTAAGTTGATTAGGAACTGTTGGTTTGGTGTCTTGGTGTCTTTCTTGCATTGTAATTGTGGATTAACTGAAAGGGAACAAGAGTGTCTCTCTTCATATTTTCCCTTTTCTATCTTGACTTTTGTTTAAATAACCTAAAGGGGTTGGGTGTCTGTTAGATAAAATGCTTGTTGGAGACTCAGTTGTTGGGAACTTGGAATCTTTTTATTTGTTGTCCTTTAAGGTAAGTGGCAATAATATGGAGGCTAGTCAGTTCTGTGGCTAAGGTAATTGCTTTTAGCTTTTTGTATCTCACCTTGTACAAATTATTCACCACCTTGTGTTGTCTTCTTGAGGTGAGATGTGAAACCTGAGTTCCTATTGGAAGCGCACCTGTAGCAGTTCTTTTGATATGTTGTTTTTGTTCTCGTCTCTGTAAGCATTTTTAGATCAATGCTGGTTTATGATTTGTGTGTTAACACTGCATTTTATATTGAAAATTAATACTAAGCGACATGAGCAAGGGCAGTGATTTATCATATGAAGGTACAGTCACGTGGTGTTGTAGTCGAACAGGGATGTTAAATTAAAAACAAAATGCTTTCTCGTTCTTGCATGTTATTGGGAAGCATTTCTTCCTTCATGTGTTCATACTGTATGTCTGTCCATTGATTTCCCTGAGTAACCAAAATAAGTGCTTCGTCTCTTGGGTATGCCAAGGCAGAATCTTTATTCAAGACCCAGGAGATATAGTTTGCGTGTGTGATATAGCGACAGTTCATACCAATTTCAGATTCTTCTCTGCACTGTAACATTTTGGTTTTGCTCAGCTAAACATTATTGCACATAGAGACACGTCATGCCCTCTGTTCTAGACTGGAATGCAAAGATCATGTTTGAAAGACATCAAAGACCCAGCAGAGTGACATCCTGTAGATTTCTCTTATCTATGCAAATTTCCCGTTGGATCAAAGATTAGAGCTAGAAAAATTAAGGCGATGACTGAAATGTGGTTTGAATGTATTAAGAGTGTCACAGTCTTTTCTTATCTATTAATCAACCAGAAAAAGGCTATTCATTACCCTAATGTGACTTATTAAGACCGATTGCACTGTTGCATTTCCACTTGAACCAATCAAAAGTCAATATTGTTTCCCACAATACTGTACATGACTCATTATGGGGACTGTGTGTGATCATAATTTATTTTAAGGTACTAAGTTCAGCAGTACTGAATAGTCACTTTAATTTACATCAAGCATGCCGGCCATTAAATATTCTAAATTAGTCACTAAGCGGCGAAACACACAGCAGCAGTAATGGTGTCACCAAGGTCCCCAAGGAAGAAAAGGACATTATAAGTATTGTGGCAGCTGAATCAAAGTGATGGCTTTTGAACCATGAAATAGGTGTGCAAAAATTCCTAATTTGAAAACGGCTGCATGTGACTAATTCTCTTTTCATGCTTGATGAACGGAGGTTTTGACTGAATCTGTATAAGAGAAGGGTGCTCATATAAATTTCCTGTTGCCTTTTTATATGACAAAATCTCCAGGAATGTTTTGCAGAAGTTTCTGATGAATTCAGACTTGAATTCCCTGCTGCCAGTTACAGGAGGACTGTTGGAATACTCTTTTGCAAGGGAAACCACTTGTGCTCATGTGTTTCCTGCAATGATAATGGTCACTATTTGGACTCCAGATGTTATTAAATACGTTTATTTTTTTTCCCTATTTAAGCGTTTCTGGAGCAAATCGTACAATATCACAAAAGGTTTTGCAGCTCCTCCTGTGATTGGTCAGGGTGATCCACTGGTGACCTGTAATAACCTTCCTGATCTTGGCATACCTCCTTCCTGCTAACCCAACCCCTGTGTGCTTGCTTCCCAGACGCCTTTCCCTGTCCATCCTGTTTCCGATCTCCCCTAATCCTGCTGCTGTTCTGTCCCTAGGTCTGATGACAGCGACTCCTCTGTCTCGGAGGTGCTCAGGTATAGATCTCTCTCTGTCTGTCTCCAGTACTCCAGCCTGTGTTGTCAGCCTGCCCCTCGCTCTGGGTCTGAGCTGCTATATGCTGTCTGCATGCCTACCTGAGTGTTTCCCCTCCCCAGCTTCTTTCTCTTCTCTGAGTTCTCTTTTCTCCACGTCTCAAATAATAACTGAATGAACCTTATAGTTTAAGAATCCTGGTCAGGTAGAGATCAACAATAGGATGCCACATTTAACAGAGAATGGTTTTAGGAGTAGCAGAAAGCATGACCTTCCTTTTTAAGCCAAAAAAAGAAAACATTTTATCCAAAACCACCCTGCATGAATTCCCCCCATGGACAAGTTGCAGATTTTTTTTCCCCATATGTTTTATCCAAAGTTTGTATCAAAATACGTTGGGACAGGCACGCTGATCCAAGTATCTGTTGTTTTAAAACAAATGCCATTTTTTTTTTTCCCCCCAATGAAAAATAAACACACTGAAAAATAAAGTCAAGATTATTGTCCGGATTTGCAAAGAAAATTGAAGCTTGAAATTCACAAGTGTTTTCGTTTAAGAAAAACTCTTAAACGAAAGAGTTTCTCCGGGAAGCCATTTTGTTTGCAGAAAAACTTTTTTAGATTATCAAGCACTAAGGCAGCCACTACTGGTTTCGTCTGCTGGCTCTTGCCTGTTGTAAAACGCACCAGCATCCCATGTTTGATTTTCAACTTCCTATCTTGTTGTGTTACAGATTGCACTGAAGTCCTAGTGGACTTCATTACCTTTATTACCTGTATTAGGCGGCAGATGAGGCCATCAGTGGGACACATGCAGTTTGAGGATACAGAGGGAGGTTTCACTTTTGGAAAGAAGCATCTTCAGCACTGGTCCATTGGAGTCCTGGTCTGACAGGATGTCTGGGTTTCCTTAAGTGCTCATTGAAGGACTGTGCAAAGGATTGATGATTTAAAGAGAACAGACCAGGCTACTGGAATGTGGCCCTTGAAAAGCTATAGTGGAGTCACTTGATTTACTGTGGTTGAAAGATGCTCCCTTGTGACTAAAGACAATGTCTTTTATCCCACTCCTTGATGCTTCTTGTTCCGGAAGCATACAAATAAAAACACCCACTGCGTTGCAATTTGAGCCATTTCACACTGGCCCTTCTACTTAAGGCAGAAACCTGGGTGGAGGATATTTTATGTTTCTTTGCTTATTTTCAATTAATGTGGATAGACAAAATGCAGTTAAAATAAACTTGTGCAGTTAAAGAGGCACAAGTGAGAGGAATCTGTTAACGGTTCGTTCTGTCTCATTTTAGTCCCTCTTGATAGTACTTGGAACAAACCCCAATCCAGAAAGGAACAGCAGGGCTCCAGACTAAAAAAAAATACTTGGCAGCCACTGGTTCCTAAAATGAAATATTTAGGTGCCAAACGACTTTTTTTAGTCGTCAAATTACAGATTCAAAATAGTTTGTCTGCAATGCACCCAATAAACTTGGCACATGCGGTGTTGTTATCATACGTCTTTGATACATTCATTAGCAAGATTTGGGAGGCATATTTTGTGAACAGTAATTCCTCGCGTGCGGTCATGTAGACTGCATTCAATTTCATTTTCAGTTCTTGAAAGTCTTTGTCACAGTCGCGAGACACACAGCCCGGGCTAAAGGTGTCGGCCTTCGGGCACACTTCGAAATTCCACAATCGCGAGCTTCAGTGTTCTATAATGTACGGAACTGATCTTATCAAATGCAGTATGCTTCTGACTCCCGTGTCTTTTTGTTGTTTCTTTTTTTAAATGATTCATCCTTTGAAAATCTCAGTTTTCCCTTTTCTGACCGGTTTTAGAACATAAGTCACAATATATCATTTGTTTAACTTTATCATACCTAAGCCAAGCAAATTCCTGAAGCCACGAAGTTCTGAAACGTCGATCAGGCCTGTTGACGCATTAATCTTACTCTAAAATGTCCCAAGTCTGTTTTCAAACTGCGTTCATGTGGAACGCTTGCAGTAGCCTGTGTTCTAGTGCTTGGCTTCTTAGCTTGATACCTCTTAACCAAGTCACTGCCGTGTGCTGTGATGAAGGGACGGAAAGGCGTGCACTCTAAAAATGTAATTAAGTAACACCTCATTACTGTGTGAAATTTGATCACATATCGACACAAAATAACGGAGTTTTGGGGTCTGTCGCTAATGGCGACTAAATTTTAAATTATTGTCGCAAATTCTTTTTTTGTCGCATTTGTGAGCATTTCAGTCGCAGTCTGGAGCCCTGAACAGTTTAATGCAGATACGGATACCCAACCTTACACCAGTTTACTACTTTATTTTGTGTGAATTTCATTACTCAAGAGCACAACAGCAGTGTCTTGACTGAGATTTAAACCTACAACCTACTACTCAACAGTCCAGAACCTTAACCACTGTTTCACATTGCTGCCCTGCAGGCAATATGCGGGTTGAGGAAAGGGAAAACCCACTATAACAAAAAGGACAGGTGAGCACCCCAAATGCATGCACCCCAGTTCTCAGGGGGCAATAGTGCTGACTGCCATGTCACTACACCCCTGCAATCTGGAACAAAATTTGGCAGCTTATAAAGTCTGAACAGGATCAAACTGGTAAATATAGAGAGAAAGCAGAAAATCTTTTTGCAGTAACTGATGCAGTAGCATCAGATTTTCACCAGATGTCATAAGCATCACGTGAATCGCTTCTAAAACTCTTCTTTCTGCTTTAATGTGCCTCTTACATTAATTGGTGTGTTTTTCAGAATAATTAATTCATCCCCATCACTGCAGAAAACCTTCAGACCACTTTTTTTACAGCCTAAAAAATCCTTTTGTATTTACTGGAAAGATTCCCTTTGTTCAGCTGGTAACAATGACCATGTTAACATAGACAAAGTTTGTTTTTGTTTTTACAATGAAAAAGTTAATTTTTCTATATGCAAAAGGTCAGACGATAATAAATGAAGAACACAACGATTATAAATCATAATCATACCGTTATATTCCCTGTAGCCATAAGGCTCAATCCAGATGCCTCCTTGTACTTCATATTTCACAATCTAATGGAATTGCAATAGTGTTAGCTAAATTACTGAGCTCATGCATCTAGCCTTTCACATTTCTTGGACACATTTGTTCCAGTTTTGGTTTTTACTTTTTAATATGTGTCACATTGATTTCATTATCTGAAGATTGCTTCAAAGGAAAGAAATATAAAGGGTTTTTTATTGGCTTTTTTCCTGTACTTTGCCTCAGTAGGGAACATATGAACAGAGCAGTATCCCTCACCTTTTGTCCAGCATGACAAAATGAGAGAGTAGACAGTCTTTTTTGGTGTTTTGTTGAAAAAGCAGGTTTTTAATTGCACAATCAGTCATTTCGTGGGTTGTGAAGTAGGTAGGCATTGTCTATAAAGTTACCGTCCTTGCTCAGCGGGGTTTGCCATCACTGCAGTGCGGTAACAGAACGCTGCTTCATTTCTGCAACAGAATAAAAATGTAGCACTTGAACTATCTCCCAGGATGCTCTCCTGCTTAAAACCCGTCTCCTTCCAATCCGTTTAATTGCTGCCAGTGCTGTCATCCCAGAACTCCAGAAACATGCACATGGGAAAAAACCCAAGGAAAATTAGGAAAAAAGCATGCTGTTTTCCCTCCTAACTGTGGGGATCTTCAGTGGGAGAGCAGTCTGAGACCGACCAGGCTTGGGAACACCTCCGATTTTTGCCTTACATGGGGCAGACCATAGTCTGTATGAAGGTCTTTAAAACAGCATGATAAGGTTCATTCAGAACACTTCCCAATTTTTTTTCTTTAAGTTGCTTAGTGTAGTCCCTGTAACCCTGTAAAAGTTGAATCATCTCAGTTTTTTTCTTAGTTTTCCACATCCAGATTTAGGAGACCACCTTAGGCCAAGTCTGTGTGTTGGCACTGGAGATCTTGACTGAGCCCTGTAGTCGCACACACCTGGGAACGCCATGGACCACCATAGCGATCTGAACAAATATTGCATGTTGACGTTTTTTTCTGTACTGTCTCTTGTTTTAGCTCTGTGTGTCTTTACAAAGCTTTATCTATAGTCTGTGCTGTTCTGGGTTTGGCTGATGTGATTTTTTTTTTCCGGTTTGGCTTACTTGCATGTAGCTTTCCTCCATATTGTTTTGGGGAGCTTGGGGGTGTTGTATCTGAGTCTCCACAAAGCCATGGTGCCGATCTGCGGACTGTGGGTTGAACAGTCCACGTTCTATGGTTGTATTTTGACAGTACAGGAGCACACCTGCTGCGGGTAAGTCAGATTCCTGTGGGGCTTGTGGAACGCTAAATAAAGTCATTCTTCTGCTACATTTAAACTCTCTGTTAAGTTCTCTGTTTCCCTTGTTAGCATATTAAATACTTAAGGTTTCCTTTCCTGTGGTGTTCAGATGTTCTGACTGGTTTGTTGTATCCCTCTATAGACTGGGCATTTAATTTTTTTGCCTTGTGATTGATTATGTATTAACCTAAGGAATGTCCATGCTAATAATAGCTTGTCTTTGGTAAGAGCAATTGGAGCAAAAATTATTGGCATGACCACAGAGTGAATGATGGTAAGGAACAAGTGCTAGGAGACACACTGGGTTTTTAAGGACAAGGAAAGCCAAAGCACCAATTACAGCAAGATGGTCAAGATGTCAATAGAGAAGTTATGATCTTCTGTGCCTCACTGCTACACATTTAGCTTAGTAAGTAGATATTAAATGGTTTACGTTAAACACATTTAAAAACAATTAAAAACATTCTGGAACATGTTGAAAAATGTAGCAAGATTTGGCCTTTACAAACCGCTCCGAAGGCTGACTGCCCACACCCCGCAGGAGAGCCTACTTGAGAGTCCCAATGAGCATTGTCCATATTGCACCCTATCCCACTCCCCAGAAGCCTTGATGACTGATGGTGGGGACAGAGATCCCACGAATAACACCAATGTAACATTGGTGGTCAGTAATGGAAATTGATCTGCTGATTTCACGCTCATACAAACAATGAAGAAGCTCACTGTGCCAAAAGCCGGCCCCCTCCCTCCAAACATGAATGCACTTTGGGTGTCCTTAAGAGTGCTTTCCACTGTGAGATCTATTACAGAAAAAAAAAGAAGTATAGCAAAATGTGTATCCGTAATGAAATTGTTCAACAGGTTTGTTCTTGTTTCTGTATGCTGGAGATAATTTACATTGTGTGCTTGTAAGTTATCTCCTTAAATGTTCAAGGTTTGTCCATTTAATTAAAACTGTGACAGAACAGCCATTTTAGTTTTTCCTTACAGTTTTAAATCCTGTGCATATTGGAATGCTTTGGAAGATAAAGCTTGCACCTGTCTTGACCCTTGCTATGTCCTCATTTAGGGGGCTCTTGTTGCACAAGCCCAGACCGTTCCCTGCAGTATCCGTGGTGATTGTCAGTGTTTCAGAGCTAGGGCTGGCGTCCCCGAAAGACCAGTTTTGTCTTTCATCCTGGGCTCTGTTGAGTTCCCACGGCATGCTCTTCTGTCAGAGGAACCACTGTTCAGAGTGAAGGCAAAAAACCTTCAGCTGTTTCTGGGGTGGAAAATGAGTTATAATACCTAGGGAAAAGTGTCTGGCGAAACCTCATGGAGATCTGATATTCTAAATAAAAAGCATACACACATCATTTCAATGTCAAGCAGTCTTAGTTGATAGAATGTGTCCTGTACTGACTAGTATGACAATTTCTTTCCTTTAGAATCAGAGCTGTGGTTCACTTTCCCAGCTTCTCAGTTGTCTTTGTACAGTTCCCCAGCAGGGGGAGCCATAGGGACAGGAGTCAGACATGGGAGGCTGCATTTCTCCACAAGCATTCAATTTCTTTGTATGTCATTTTTAGCAGACAGAGGTGGTGGCAAAAGTCGCAGAAAGATCGGCAAAATAAGAGCAATAGGTTTTGCTTTGAGCTTTTGTTTTGGTGTTAGTCCCATGGCGAGCTTTGCAATTTGAAAAAAGGAAAAAAAAATCTTTAAAAACACACTTGTTTTACATTGTGTTATGTCAGAGCCTGAAGGCAAAATTACAGAACATTAATAAAACAACCCGCCGAAAAAAAACTAATCTCAGGCAGAGGTTTTGCACAGAGGAGGATATTTTTTTTTTGTCGTCTATAAATACAGCATCTGAGATCAAGGATTATATGTAAATATCTTCGATCTTCCCTCTTGCATCTGTGTGTCACAGATTCTCCTTACGCGACACTTCTGAGCATTAAGTCCCGCACAACATTTTTTGCCGAGGCTGTTTGAAGTGCCTTTGGGGAGCTGGGTACTGAAGCTCTTTGGTGTTTAATTGGGAAGATCTCTCTTCCCATTAGGCAGACCCCGGCACAGGGATCTCGTCAAGTGAAACAACTCTGCCTGCCTGACTGTGCCTGTGTTTGAATATTTATCAGGGAAAAAACAGCCAGCCAGTCAGCCTCATTCTCTTCTCCAGCAGCTTTTATGCTGTGAAAAATTGCAGCACTTTGGTTTATATATTTATTTATTGCAGTTTTTAAAAAGTAGGACACACACACACACTTCCCATCCCCACACACACTCCTCTTACTTCCTTAGTCCCAGAAATAAGCAGAATATTTTTTGTGCCATTTTTTTAATGTTGGATTTTAACTTTTTTTAAATGTGTCCTATTGGAACTAAGTGTCAACGATGGAGATATTTGTCAGTCACTAAAATTGATATTATTGTGACTGTTGTAGAACTTGTGTGCTTTATTACTATAACGCTTATTTGTAAGTAGGTCTGACTCTCTTGAGCCCTTCAGTACATTGTTATAGATGTAAATGTGAGCCCTGGTGTTTAACCAAGTTACGCCAGTAGTGAAGATGGGCTGACTCTTCAATGGGGTGTGGACACAGCCTTGTTCCTTTGGCACAGCTGCAGACAGGCTGGCGATGAGCGCACGCCCATGCTGGGGTCTTATCGATTGATTGTGTGTATTTCTGACAGGGGAGTGATCAGCCCTGTGGGCGGGGTAAAGGGAGGCAGAACTGCACCCCTGCAGTGCGTCTCTGTGGCGGAGGGCCACTCCAAACCTGTGCTGTGTCTGGACGCCACAGACGAGCTCCTCTTCACTGGATCCAAAGGTACGGTATGGCCGCTCCGCTCACTCTTCAGTTAGGTGAGAGCTTTGGCCATTGTATATTATTATTTGCTTCACTGAGAAAGCCTTCTCCACGGAGATTTACATATTTAATTGAATCATCTGCACCAAGAGACTGAAATAAGAGAAATGCAGCAGTATGCACAGAGCAGACACTCACACAACAGCATCTGGTAAGTTGGTCTTATGCAGAGCATGCTGCAGACAATCGTGCACAAGTCTGGAGTTATTTTGATACGGCCAGCAGCCATATCACCCTGCAACTCACAACTGGCAGCCCACTGAAGCTAAGCAGGTGTGAGCCTGGTCAGTACCTGGATGGGAGACCTCCTGGGAAAAACTAAGGTTGCTGCTGGAAGAGGTGTTAGTGGCGCCAGCAGGGGGCGCTCACCCTGCGGTCCATCTGGGTCTTAATGCCCCACTATAGTGATGGGGACACTTTACTGTAAACAGGCGCCGTCCTTCGGATGAGACATAAAACTGAGGTCCTGACTCTCTGTGGTCATTAAAAATCCCAGGATGCTTCTCGAAAAGAGTAGGGGTGTAACCCCGGTGTCCTGGCCAAATTTCCAATTGGCCCTTACCAATCATGGCCTCCTAATAATCCCACTCTATGAATTGGCTACATTACTCTGCTCTCCTCCCCACTGATGGCTGATGTGTGGTGAGAGGACTAGAGCACTATGGCTGCCGTCGCATCATCCAGGTGGATGCTGCACATTGGTGGTGGAGGGGAGTCCCCATTACCTGTAAAGCGCTTTGAGTGGAGTGTCCAGAAAAGCGCTATATAAGTGTAAGCAATTATTATAATTATAATTATTTTATTTTTTTAAATTTAAAATGTAGCACTTCCAAAAACATTTTTTGAGTAGCACACCCACCCATTGCAATAGCCAGCTGTTTTTCACATTTCTGGTCACGACTACAAATCTTGCAGCCGCACACGGGAAAAGGAGGCAGTGTAGGCAGACCCCTCTGTCCTGCCCACCTTTAAGCCACTGGTCTTTTACCACATTGCAGTACCTCAGGATCAGTGCTCATGGGAGGAGAGGAGTGTCCCTCAGCGTTCATGCTGTGAGCTTGCAAGTATAGGGGGAATTCAGAGCCGAGACCCTGGCTGACCAATTCCACCTTGCCCTCGGAGGTGCTCAATTGTACACCACTGCTTGGGAAATCCTGTCACAGCTGGTTACTGACCCAGCCTGGGATCGTGAAGCTCAAGCTGTGCTCAGGCTTGAGCCTTTACTGATATGAAATTTATGCCATATGGATGAAAGCGTTTTTTGGCAAACCTTTCAGTTTGACTATGTTTTGAGGTAGTTATTTTATTAAAACATGACTCTGTGATTATAAAAGGATTTCATAAATATTAAATTTTTATCAGCGTATGTGATGTTTGTACCTTTAATTTATATTTTTAATTAGGTTGGCAAAATCTAATCTTAAACATATTCTGTAAGCTCGTATATGATTAGTCAAAAGTTTGAATGGCCAAACTAGCAAGACAAAATATGCACTGATGAAGCAAATGTCTATTAGCAGTGAACAATAATAAAAATGCTCGTAGAAAATAATAAAATTAACAGCTTGAGGGGCATCTTAATTTGAGCCTCTTTAAGAGCAGTTGGAAAATGTATCACTTGAGAGAAAAGAAATGGTTGAGAAAAATATGAGAGGAGACCATTTGGCCCATTAAGCCTGTTTGTCTGCTAGTAGAGAACTAATCCAAGAGTCTCATCCAGACCTGTCTTGAGAGAAGCCAGGGTATTGGCTTCTACAGCGTGGCTGGTTTAAGCCCACAGTCTTTTGTAGAAGAAATGCCCCCTGTTCTAAGTAGTTGTTCGGAGAACATAGTTTCCACCTGTGCGCACTGCTGAGTCTGAAGAAGTCTGCTGGCTTGCCTTTCACAATCCCCTAAGGCACTGTTGATAATTGGAAGAGGACCCTGTGCACTCTTCTCTGTTCAAGACTAAAAAGATTCCATTCTGTTCCATGTAGAACATTCACTTACGCTGCAGATCTTATCTGGCTGCTCTTTTCTGGACTGATTCTAGAACAGCAATGTTATTGTTGCAATATTGTGGCCAACATTTTACCTATATTCTGAAGAAGCTCTTATTAGTAGAGGGGAAAATGGAGAACTTCACTGAGAGGAGAAGAAGAGGATGAATAAGTTAAAACCATCCAGAGACACAGTAGAACATCGTATCTCCATCCTTTTGACCAAAAACCTTACAAGCTCTCCCCAGCTTAGCTACCTTTTGAGGTGGGTTTCCTTCCCCTTCTGTGGCTCCTGCTATAAATAAGTCTGGAATAAATTTGAAGTCAAGTGGAGATGGATATATGAAAGGTGACCTTCTGCCTTCAGTGCTTGATCAAGCAATATACCACAGTCCTGGTCACCGGGGATGGGGTTGTGACATTTTATTAACTTGGTCTTGAGCAGCGCTGGGTTTGCAGCCTGAATGAGCACCAACTGAATCATTCCCCACAGAGAGAACGTGAAGACTGATTAAAACTGAAAGGTCACTAACAGCTCCTGAAGAGACCTTTTTTCGTTTAGTGTTCTGCTTTTCGGGCCTGTCTGCTGTCAGTTTGGGAGGAGAAAAACAAGACTGCGACCACGGCAATTTCGGTTTTTTAACAATTGTTTCCAATTCCGTTGGTTATATTTACCCACCTGATTTGGGACTGCCAGCTGGTGTGTCTACACAGCTTCGAGCCCCACAGCCACACATGCGGAGAGTGAGCCGCTGTAAACGGACGCCTCCGATTTGTCCTTTATTCAGCCACCTGGCGCTATAGAATTTCTGAAAGGAAATAGAACCCCTGCTTGAACACATTGACTCCAAGCACCAAGTGAAAGGTACCTCTATTCCCAGTGGCTACAGTAAAGCAGACACAAGAGGAGTGTAAAGACTGCACTGTAAGAGTGGAAGTGTCATAATAGCGAGAGCCCTCATGAGCAGCTCTAGTCTTATAGTGCAGCATCTACACTACTCTTTTGGCTTCTTCACTGCAGATCGTTACCTTTCTGTTTACCACTGAACAATGTCTGGGTCAACAGGGAATGGTTCTGTGTGCAGGTATTCAGACAATTTCCCATGGTCAGACATTCACAGCAAGTCAGTGTTGAGGAATGAGTGACAGCCCTGTTGGTTTAGAATGAGCAGGGGAGCTGAATTACAATTCTCTTCTGCGTGTGCCGACAGTACCTCCCGCTGGACATGTCTGTAACGTGCTTCAGCACTGTAGATGGAGCTCAGTAATGACTTCTCTCCAATCTCTTTTTTTTTTTTTGCTCCCTGTGCGCTATAGACCGCACGTGTAAGATGTGGAACCTGGTGACAGGGCAGGAGATTGTCACCCTGAAGGGTCACCCCAACAACGTGGTGTCGGTAAAATACTGCAGCAGCTCCTGCTTGGTCTTCACCGTCTCTACCTCCTTCATCAAAGTGTGGGACATCCGTGACTCCGCGAAGTGTGTGCGCACCCTCACGTAAGGTTTTCCTCTCGCCTTATTCCCTTGCAGAGATATCCCTCAAGGAGTGACTGCTTAAATTCCCGCATGCTGCATGTTGTTCACTGGGATGAACGTGTCCCGTAGTTCAGAGGGAAACTTTGCGGTTGCATGCTGAAAATCAGTAGTCCCACATGTGTAGCAAGCGCAGCCGTCCATTTTCTCCTGAATCTGACCCACGTGCTGCACAGGAGGTTGATGGCATTTTGGTCATGATCCGGCCCTCTTATTTCGCCCCAACCCTCAGGTCCTCTGGTCAGGTTATCTCAGGGGATGCCTGTGCCGCCACCACAACCCGCACCATCACCACAGCGCAAGGGGAGTACCAGATCAACCAGATCGCTCTGAACCCCTCTGGCTCGGTGCTGTACGCCGCCGCTGGCAACACCGTGAGGACCTGGGATCTGAACAGGTGAGGGGGGGTTGGGGGGGCTTCCCGGCTGTCACCCACACTCTCCTGTCACGCCAGTCACGCAGTCTCAGATCCTTCACCGTGCCCCGATGAGACCTGCCACGCGCTTTTGTGCCAAAGCTGATGTCATCGCTGGCCCCTTATTACACATTCTTCATGCATTACCGTCAGTAAGAAGAAAACTCCTGAGGTGGTTTACTGATGCTTTTTGATGAGATTAAATTACAATTCTGTTGGTTGGCTAAGAAAATCAAGTGGACGTGGAAGGCTCAGTTTTTTTTATAATAAATGATGGCTACCAGACCATCCCTGTGCCTGCCGCCTACTGTAACTCACCTCCTCACCCTGAGGAGGTCGCTGTGCCTCCCTGTGCTAAGTCACTTGGATGAGACAGGAAATTGGGGCCGCAGCAGGTCACTGTGTAGTAACTTAAAGTCCTTTGTAGCTAAAGTCATCTGTTAAATCACTTATTATGGGGTGGTGGAGATTTTTTTATATATATATATGTCTGGGTCGTTAATTTGACCATGTAAGGGGGGCTTGTTGGACTCGGTTCTGGGAGGACCTTTTTTTCCAGCCTGAGCTCCATTACAGTCTGGGTCTAATTAATTAATTAACTGCCTTGGTGCAACTATTGTAACTTTGCTCCGAGGTGTTTTTTTAAGTAACTGTTTTTGTAGTCAGCGTTTTGAGTAATGATGACTGTTGTTTGTAAAAGACCTTAAGGTACACTTTGTATATATTTAATTAAGAAAATTAGCGAAATAAATGATTGGTTAATAATTAACTAGCAGCTCTATCACCCTGCAAATCACAGCTGACAGCCCACTGAAGCTCAGCAGGTCTGATCTTGGATGGGAGACCTCCTGAGAAAGCTAAGGTTGCTGCTGGAAGAGGTGTTAGTGGGGCCAGCAGGATATGGTCACCCTGCAGTCTGTGTGGGTCCTAATGCCCCAGTATAGTGATGGTGACACTATACTGTAAAAGGAAAAAGTGCTATCCTTAAGATGTGACTGAAAACCAGACAAGTGCTATTTATGAGTAAGAGATTATTATTATTTTTATTAATGGTTTTAATTCACGTCTCAGGTTGGAGGAAAACCCAACGGACACAAAGTTTGAATCCCCCGATTTAAAGAGTAAAGACACCAAGTCTGTTTGAATTCAGGTCTCTGTGTGGAAGTCCTCTTTTTATTTGAGGGTCCTTCTGTTTCCTCTGTATTCGGGTTTGGAATGACCTGCTGCATGCCCAGTGTTGGATTAACACACTCTGCGGTCCACGTTTTAGGATGCAGGCCATCGGGAAGCTGACTGGTCACATCGGCTCGGTGATGTGCCTCACTGTGGGTCAGTCCAGTGGCTGCAGGGACCAGGTCATCACTGGCTCCAAGGACCACTACGTCAAGGTACAGCACTGCCGTAACCCCAGGCCTCGGGTCAGAGTACCTGCTTCTGTCCCGCTTCTGTGCCGTTTTCTCTGCTTGTTTCTCATCTGTGTGCAACAGCCTGAAGTTTGTAAATGTTTTGCTAATTATCACTCGGGCATCACTGTAACTCATCAATTATCCCAGTTAAGATCTTTGCAGTTTTATATTTACAACTGCAGGTGAACATGCAGCTGTACGTATGGCTGCCCTGTATCTGAAACAAGGCTATTCAGTCATTTATTTAATAAGTATGGCTTATTCAACGGTCCTCATTTTTTTCAGTGATGACTCCTCTTAAATGAGCATCTTCTCATTCACCCTGCCTGATGTCACAGGAAGATGTTCCATTAAGGTGATGTAAGAAAATGGGTGCTGATATTTGTCAATGGTGCTGCAGGTGTTTGACGTTGCTGAAGGTACGGTGGGAAATGTGGGTCCAGCCCATAACTTTGAGCCGCCGCACTATGATGGCATCGAATGTCTGGCCATCAACGGGGACATCCTGTTCAGTGGCTCCAGAGACAACGGCATCAAGAAGTGGGACCTCGAGCAGCAGGAGCTCATCCAGGTACAGTGGATGTACCGATCACTGACTGCGCAGTCAGCCATGTCCACACAGCGCCCCGCCTTTGTGCTTTTTCTCATGCCTGTTCCTCCCTTGTTGCTTCCCGCTGTCCTGGAAGTGTCAAAAAGACTTCATTTGCAGCAGGGTTATGTGCTGCAAACACTGTAGTGAAATAACATTACTTAACTACAGTATATAATGGGGAAACAGTGTACAGTACAGCATGGAACTCGCAGAATTTCATTGCCTCACAGGACCAATCTGCCTATAGCTTCCACTGAGCTGATGCGATTGCTGTGTCTATATCTATATATGTCTAGGTATGATATGGATTGTATCTATTTCTCTCACAGCACTGAGCTAATGGGACTGCAGCGCCTATAGTTCCTGCTGAGCTGACAGAACTGCGGTGCCTATAGCTCTCACTGAGCCCCCACAGTACAGCACCGAGCTAACGGTACCACAGTGCCTATACTGAATTTCTCACTGAGCTGATGGGACTGCAGTGTCTATACAGCAGCTCTTATATCACAGCTCTGATTTCACTGTATGCTACTGCCTTAACACATTCCAGGTCCAGAGCACAAGAAATGCAAAACTAAACTTAAGAGTGTTCTGGAAATGCCAAAGTACAATATTCTGAAGGATGTTTCTTTTTAGTTTATGTACCTGAATGAACACGCACATTATATATTTTAATATAAAAACAATAAACAGCTCTTTGCACTGTTTCATTTGCCATGGCGCCTGGGGATATGAAATGACTCAGACAGCTAATTTGATTTTTTGTCTTCTGAGCTGTTTGAAGGAAGAAAAGGATAAATAATAAGCACAGTCTGGTGCTGTCGATAGAGCTTGCACCAGCCCTCAAATGATTTCTGACATTTTGCCATTAATTGCCTTTTTCAGCTAAAATGCAACTGTGCCTTTGTGGATGAGCATTCTGCCGGCAAACACTGGGGTTATAAGAACCCGAGCGTCTGCTTCACACATTGTGATGTTCATCAAGAAGAGAGCAAGCAGTCACTCAATGATCACAAGGGGTGTCTGCTAGTCATTCAGAAGAGCAGGGGCTGATTTTACAGCGGAAGAAATCATTTCTGCAGAATTAGTGGAAGAAGTGCCATATGAAAGCTGGAAGGGTCATTCTTTTGCAAATCAGACCGGTACAAGTTGGGACTTGTTAAGCAGGTTGCAGAGAGTGAATGCTGCATTGCTCAGAAAAAGAATTTGCTGTGTTGATTATATTTAATAATGAGAAGCACTTTGATGGACAGACGACATTAATTTCGATTTGTAGTTGATAGCTCATAACTCTGGGTTCTTATCAGTTTAATTCACTCCCCTGAAAATCCAGGCCAATTTCTAACTCGATGCTCATTGAAATTGTATAGTTATTGATGCTGCGGAGTGCTTTTTGTATTTTCACAATTCCTCATGTCTAGGTATGATATTTCAGCTAGCTGATTAATATTCTGAGTTAAATTGGCAGACTCTCACAATGGTAGGCATTGTGTGATTGAGTTAAGGAACATAAGACGCACTTCTTCCACTTCCCCGAGGCTAAATCATATCCATCCATCCATTTTTCTAAACATTTTATTCAGTACTGGGTTGTGGGGGCGCTGGAGCCGATCCCAGCAAGCAGCAGGCACAAGGCAGGATACACGCTGCGCGTCCCAGTCCATCACAGGGCAGACGTGCACACACTCACACCAGGGCCAGGTTTTCCTGAAGCCAATTAATTTACATGTACGTCTTTGGACTGTGGGGAAAAAAACCCACACAAACCTGGGGAGAACATACAAACTCCATGCAGATAGAGACCAGAAATTGAAGCCCTAGGGCCCCACATTGCTATGAGCCTGAAATGCTAACCACTGTGTCACTGGGCACCCCACAAAATATTTCTTTTGTAAAGTGGAAAAAACTCTTGAAACATACAGCTCAGTCCCACACTGCATTGTGCCTTGTCACAAACAGTCCCGTTGGAAAGATGGAGTTGGACTGGGCTGCGAATGTTTCATATTATTTTAGATTCTTTTCCACACCCAAGCTTTTCAGACCTGGGACAAACATAGCGCTGTTATTTTTTGAAATAGTTTAAATGTTTCAGTATTTCTTCATAGTTAACATTATCATCACATATGAATGTTATTTCAGAATATTTAACTGTGAGCAAAAGCTTAAAAATAACAGTGAAAAAATATTCACCATCAACGGCAACAGGATGATCCTCTTGATAATCTGCAGTTCTTTTTCCACCTTTTAACTTGCTCTGAATTCATGATGATAAGGAGAGTTGAAGTACTGTTACAGTTTCACATCAGACCATAAGTGAGAATGTCAACATTTTATTTGTATCTGTCTCCCATTTGGAGGGGGCAGAGGTAATATGTTTGGAAGAGACTTATTTAACGGCTCTAATATACTGTAGGATTGTCTGAGCTATATTATTGCCCTGTATAGGAGAAAATGCTCCAGATTGCTCACAAGAAGTGGTCACCTTTCACACTTAGGAGGACTGAAGGCTTTCTGAAAAGATTAACTAGACACAGGGGCGTGTATGGCATGACTTCATGACCCATGATCTTAGGAACTCTTCAGTGGGTGGCAGAATGCAAATGGGGACATTGAAGTATTTTTTGAGAAGACGAGGTCACTTTAAGGTGTATGTCTATACAGTACATTCATTTGCAAGCTTTGCATTTCTCTGACAAATGTGAGGAAGAAAAACGGGAAGGAGACTGGGAGGTGGTTTTTGATAGTTAATTTGCCAGTGTCTTGAGCTGATGGATTTCGAGACTTGGCACATGCTGGGGGCCCCTGCATTAGCTGTGCCCCCTGGGCATTTGAGCTGTGTGAAGGAGCCTGGTATGAGTGACATAAGGCCAGCCAGGGCAGTAATCATTCATGTCCATGCACCCAGGGCCAGATTTGTACAGCACAGCCCCTGCTGGGCCTGGTCTGAGCTTGTCCTAAATGGAAAAACACAAAATAATTGGAAACGCACCGATGCATTAATGCACTGGATACTGATAGTGAGTTCTTTCTTGCACTTACACTGCAGAATAGTCACTCACCTGTACCATCATACTGTACTTAAAGGGGAACCACAGTTCCAATTTCTCAGACCAGTTATTAAATCTCGATAATGAAACAAATTAATTGACGGTATAGAACATTTTAAAAATGTCAAATTAAGCACAAAATCATGAATTTTCTGAAAGTACTGGAAGTCGCCATGTTGTTACAAACACCTGGTCTTTCCACAGGCGAGAGTGAGAGTTCATGCCAATTGTGACTTGAAGTGAACCCTTCCTGCTCACTAGTTACTGTAAAAACTAATGTGTTGGAATGTACGAGCGAATTAGTGCAGGTTGTGCAGCAGACATTTCACTGCAGAAATGATCCAATGTGATCTGCATGTAGAGTTAACAAGAAGTATTTGTCAGCAAGACCGTCTCAAAGTTGAGAGTAATATCTCTATTGGATTAAAAGAGATGTACTCGCAAGCCAACTTGTTTACAATGTAATAAGGCTCTAACACGTCACCTGAAGATTGTTCTGAATTGCAGGATATGGGGAAACTGTCTGTTTTGTCATGTAAATGTGTGGTTTTACAAGTTACTCTGTACATTTTTCTTTTATTGTGGTTCGAAATTCACTCATCAATGCTGATTCTTTCTAGCCCTGAAATTAAAAAGTAGAGTTGCACTTCCCCTTTGTTTCTCCAAAGGCAGCTGATAAAAAGAAAAAAGGGTTTGATGTATTTTAAAGCAATGGGGCAATCAGCAGTTTTGACCTTTTGCACCTGTTGCCTGCCCTTCCACTTACAGTATATTGCTTTTGCACTCAAAACTATGGATTTGAACCCCCATCCCAGTGGTCTCACTCCAATTGCCCAAGCAAGAGCAGCTATGCCAGATTTATACCTGGTATTCCTGTTGGGAATTGGAGTGCCCTTCTTGCCCTTGAGGATCTAGGTCTGATTGGACACTGTGAGCACTGTTAAACTTTCCACCTCTGAACTCCTGAGTAACCTTTGAAAGAATGAAAGGCTCTTGGAAGAGGAGGAGAGTGATGACTGTGCTGCAGCCTCACTGTGTTCTGTGAGCCCCATTACGTACACAGTAGAGACCTGTTATTTTGTAATGAACTGACAAGCTTGAAAAACATGAGCATTTATGTGTAATGTGACTGGTTACTTCTTCAAGGTGGCAAGTATGTCAGTTCTTCGTAAAGGTCCCTCTTCTTTGTAAAGAGGAATCTCTCTGCTCCTGTCTCTTGGTGGTCTGTGTGTTGCAACACAAAGGAAGTCTGGGAGGATTGTTTTTTTTGTGGATAAGACTTACCCCAGGGAATACGGAGCCTGGTAACCTTTCAATTTTAGTATACCTCTGCAATGTGCAAAGTAACAGAGCTCATTTGGCACACCTTTGCTTGTTTGCCTGCCAGTAGCTTATTGATTTGAGAAGCTCATCTGGCTGTTTCTTGAAGTCGTAGGGATCTCTGCTTAAAAGCATGACTAGCAGTATCTTCCAGACACCCACAATGTCTCCTTTTCATTTCTGAATGCCGACCCTTGTTTCACTAGCATACTGTATATGCAGTAGTTCCCTCTTTAAGAAGAGGTCCAGAAGAAGGATTTTTAATTACTTGTACATCTCCTTATAGTCTCCTTCAAGACTTAAAGAAATTCATTTTCTTTAATTTGCCTGTTTATGGTATTCTTTTAAGGCAAATGCCCTTTTTTGTAATATGGTGACCCTGAATTGAACATAATGCTACAGATGAGGTTGTTCTAATGCATGGTATGCTGTTAACATAACATTCCTTGGCTTGATTCCCTAATTGAAAATCTTCTCAAAGACTGTAGGTCCAATGGCTTTCATATTTAATGGGATGACTTGTATAATTCAAATGATTACTTCATTAAAGGGCTTAGATGGGATGTATACTGGAAGACCTGAGGGACTGAAGCTGAGGATTTTTTTTTTCTTTCCCCTAATGGGAGTTTTGCAGAATAATGTCAGTGCCCTGGTTTTGAACTAATGTGTGGTTGATTGTTGTCTTCCTTTTCCCAGCAAATCCCCAATGCCCACAAAGACTGGGTATGTGCCCTGGCCTATGTGCCTGGGAAGCCCATGCTGCTCAGTGGCTGCAGAGGAGGCATGCTCAAGGTCTGGAATGTGGACAACTTCACCCCCATTGGAGAGATCAAAGGTCACGACAGCCCCATCAACGCCATCTGCACCAACTCCAAACAGATCTTCACTGCATCCAGGTACTATGCGTGCTGGAGAGAGGGAGACAAACAAGCATGCGTAGGTGGTATAGCATATAGGAAAACACAGGTGGGAAGAGGGAGATAGAGGGTGTAGGGAGAGAGAGTGAGTTGCTGAGAAACAGGAGAGAAAAGATTGAGAAAAAAGGTGGGATACTTGGACTGAATGACATGGCTGTAGAGTCGCCCCAGATTAAAGATCATAACTGAGCATCAGTACTGAAATCGGTCAAGAAAGAAACAGGGAGGACAGCAGGGACACAGATAATAACCCTAGATAATGAGAAGGGGAATTTTACATGCAGAGATTTAATGCGTTAGACACTCTGCCACCTAAAAAGAGCACTGAAGTCAGAGCCAGATTTGCTCGTTTGGGATGGGCTGGAAGAGCAACGTACTGCACAAAGCTAATTGATGCAGGCAGGTTTCTGGCTACAGGGTTTGAGGTGGAACACGGCGACATTACTGCAGATCAGTGAATCACAATGAAGCTCATAAGAACTGTCACTCTCTGTACATCACAAAGACTTGCTCTGGACCTCATTGTTGTACAAAATCCGTGGGAGGAGAAAACGGGCAGATAGTTGAACATTAATAGAAGTCAATCCCTCTGATTCTTCAGCTAGAATTCTCCAGTTGCACTTTGGTTCGGTAGAACTGTGTAGGAAATACTTTTTTCAGAATTTAGCTCCTGAATTGTGTTCAAATGTTTAAACTCTCTGTATATGGGTGACTCAGACAGGGGACTAGTAATACTGTGAAATAGATAACACAGGTGTCTCACTCAGAGACAATTCCTTTATCAGTATGGATGTATATGTTACAAGGTTCTTCTGAAGTTGCCCTGTCTGAAAACATGCATTTTGAAAACTGCACTGCAGTACAATCAAATTTATTACACTTACAATTGGCAGCACAGGGACATGTTTTTTTGAAAATCTGCACTAGAGGGCATTGACAACATCTATCCAGGAGATTAGATAAAAAGACTGCAGCATTGCCACTGCGTGGTCTCATCTCAGAAGCTAGGCAAGGATCTGGGCAGTACTGGGATGGGCGACCCCTCAGGAAAACCAGTTTAATGCTGTAAGTGCAGATGTGGAACCAGTAGGTGACCCTAAATTGAGAGTGCAAACCAACTCCCCAGTATGGTGATCAGGGATACTGAGCTACTGAAGGTGCTTTTCTTTTAGATGAGATGCCAAACTGTGGTCCTGAATACTTGGTCATTAACGCTCCCTTGGCACGGTTTTTAAGATGAAGGGTGTTAATCCCAGTGTCCTGAATAGATTCTTCTCTGGGCTGATGCATTGTGTCCTACATATCCCTCCCCCCTTAATTCAACAGGTGAAGCGAGGTTTTCTGCACCTGATCTGTGCTTTAGGATCCTTTAAAAATGAAGAGTGCAGATTATTTTTTGTTAATAACTGTTAGAAAGTCACCAGCACACATGCTAGCTTTCAGCACATGGTGCACAGCTGATTGATTCCCTTCTTGGGGTGTTGTGTCGTCTTTCGCTACAGACATTTGAGTGTCAGACCACTAATTTTATCAACACCCAGTGTTGCCACAAGTCTGGTGGAGGAGAATGATAAACAGCAGCAGTAGTGTGGCGTTGTCACCTCAGGCTGCCGCGTTTGCGCGCTCGAGCCTTCTTCCGTTTCTGCTGCGGGCTCGCTCCATGTGCGCGTGAGGAGGCCGTTCCGATTCTCTGGGTCTCCACTAACACGTCTGTCTTCTCTTCCCCGCATCCCGCCACCCCCCCTTTCTGTCTCACCTGCTTGGCCGGTGCCGCAGTGACTGCCGGGTGAAGCTGTGGAATTATGTTCCAGGCCTCACGCCCTGCCTGCCTCGCCGCGTCCTGGCCATCAAGGGTCGGGCCACTAGCCTGCCCTGAGCCTCTGCTAACCACCTCCTGCTATTCTACCGCCCTCCTCCGGTACAGTCCGTCTCTTTCTCTCTTTCTCTCTGCTCGTTTTTCTCCTTTTACTTTTCCTCTCTCCTCCCTTTCCCCTCCAGCCCCGTCTTCTCTAGTAACCCAGCTCAGCCCCAGTTTATACCAGTGACCACTGGGTAAAGCCCAGGTGTTTTCTGGTGAACCTCCTGCATGGTGTGAAACACTGATTTCAGAACTGTTTCGATTATTTGCAGTATAAACTCGCTTACTGGTAAAAGTGTAAGGTCTCCTGGGTAGATGGCTTTAGTATGTGACCCATGAGCTTAATACTTTTGTGAATGAAAACAAGGGCTAGTCTGATGGAATAATTGGCAGTGTGAGTGTTATAGTAAATATTCATGTTTTCCCTGGGAGAGTTTTTTAGCCACAGAAGTGTAGGAATCGATTAAATTGCAGCCTAGGATTACCTTGTGTGTAATATGGACTATTTGTTTGCGAACTGCCTAATTCCCCTCTGCCCCTGATTAGGTTTGATGTTTTTCTATACAGATTACTAAAAGTAAAAATATAAATGAGCTTTTTATAATCCTGCATGCCCAAATCCTTTAACTGGAACAGCATCATGAGGTTTGGTATGTGACTTGCAGTAGTTAAATTTTTAATGTGTAACAAAATGACATTGACTTGGAAAGTGTCAAGTCAGTTCTTTGCTGATGCTTGTCGTGAGTCGTGTTGTCGCAGGTTTCCGTTCTGGTGGCTGAAGTGGAGGTGGGCGGGGCCCTCTGGGTGTCGTGGTGAGGTGTTTGACTGACAGCTGTCTTTGTCTCTCTCTGTCTCCCCCTGTCTCTAGTGACATGTCGGTGAAGATCTGGCTGGCGAAGAAGGCTAGGGTGAGGTGATGTGGAGATCAGTGGGTCTCTGTGGAAGTTCTTGGGGTCTCATCTTTGGATCTGCAGCTGAGTGGCAAGGGGCAGGTCTCTCCTTGGCCTCCTGCGCTGCTTTGGGGTCGCAGTGCAGCCATCGGTTGGACGTTTCCTGAGCCTGACCAGCAGCCCATTGAATGATTCACAGCTCCATGTGGTCTCACCTGGTGGGCTCAGCTCTGGAATCAAAGGCCCCACTTCTGTCTTCATCACAAGGAATGTGGAGAGGGAGGAGCAGTGGGAGGGCGTCTGTGTAATGTCTTATCTCTTCATCTGACCGATCATCTCTTACTGAAACTGTTACTGTGGAGGAAAATTGCCTTTGCACTATTGCGTTGCAGCAAATACCTTACAGCGGCACTAGGTCGGAGCACAATGTTTCTGGAAATGAAACCGGGCAAACGGAGAAATTAAGGGGTTGGCTAAGGCAGTTTTTTTTATGCTTTTCTAACTCACAAGTGCCATCCTATTTTGACTCCTCTCGGGCAATAGAATGATGACACTGAAGAACTCGGTGGTCACCTTCATGCTATAGGGAGTAAATCCCAGAAGACTTCATCTGTAATGTCTGATGTAATGACCCGTGTCCTCTACAAGCCCCGTTAATGACTGGAAGTGCCTTTCCCTAGTTTGACATGGATATTGATGTAACACCTCCAGCCACAGCTGTTGCACTACTGCTGCTCTTCATTCTTCTGTTTTTGGAAGGGACAACCTCCCCTTTCCAGATTCGCACCATAGCAAAGCTTCTGGCCAGGGAAAGGCACATCTCAAACAGCTCGTCATGCTCCCAGCCCTGCCTCTGACAGACAGTCCCTCCCTTTTCCTCCCTGCCTGGAATTTTCCAGGGGTTTTTGAAGACCCTGACTGGGCAGCATAAACTTGAGGCAAGGTTGGTCTTTTGTTTTATCCTCTCTCCCGATCTGGGTTCACCCGTGTATTTTTGGACTTTGGATCTGTATTTGAAAGTCTGAATCCAGTTTTGGTACTGTAGCTGTGAAGGCCGGAGTCATGCCGTTGAATATTGAATGATCTCTCCTTCACCCAGGGTTGGGACAGAGGAAAACAGATTTAACCTACCTTTAATATCATCTTCTGACCGCTTTTGAGACATTGTAATGCACTAATGGAGCCAAGAAAGTCGGTGCGCTTCACGTGTGTTCTTGGGGACAAAAAGCACAAACGCGCACAAAACAAAATCGCCCTCCTTCCTGCTGACCAACTTTTTTTTCTGCACATTTTTTTTTGCTTTCTTGTCAAATTCATTTGTTAGCTACCTCAAGCAGAGAAAAAAGCCTAAGGTACTCCTAATACTTGACAGTTTAGTTAGTTGTTATACCATGTCTGATTTCAGGCTCTTTCTTGTCTCAGTCAGGATTAAGGACATTGAGCCTTTTCTTTATGGTTTTTCTCTCCTGACTAGTCTTGCTACTACAGCTTCTTCATTTCATTATATAACCAAGATGGAATCGGTAACAAAATCAAGCTTGCCCAGCTGAACTAACTCTGCTTTGCTATGAAGTGTGAGTTGTGCAAAAATAGCCAGTGATCACGTATCGGTTTGGGCTGCTTTTAATGTGCTGGTCGAGGTGAAACTTTGGACTGTTTTGCTGTTATCTTGTTGCCAAGCATTAAAGGTTTGTTTTTCCTGTTTTTCCAGCTTTGCATTTAAGGTCATTGAAGCAAGCCACTCAGTCATAGAACATTCGGGAAGAGTATGTTCTCTGGTCGAAAGCATCTGGAGGCAGGCATTCAGTGCTTCCTAGTGGGTAAAATTGCGACCCTAACCGTGCAAGGACCCAATGCTCTTTGTGTTCACTGAAAATGAATAGTTAAGTCATCGGGAGATACAAAACTAAAAACAGTCGGCGATGGACAGTTCAGACTTGGATATAAATAATATATTTGCTGGCATATCCTGCTGCACACAGCTTTTTCTCACAAATGGGACTGGTTCTTCGGAAATTGGGTTCTTTGAAGTTAAATCCCAGGATCAGGTTTTTGTTATAGGTTAATGTCCTCTGGCACATATCCTGACTTTGTATCCATATGTGGCCTAGCATAGGCTACAGGCAAATGTGCCAAAGACATATTTTTTGCTTCCTGAAACACACTATTCCAGAGGTACAGTTCAGGAAGTAATGTGGAGAATTAACCCTAGGGAACCTGGTTTTGGAGAAGTCTGAGAAAAACATATGCTTTGTGAAACAGTGTTGCAGAATGTGTGACCAAGGAATTGATTCACAGTCTAGACTGATGTCTATTTTATTCATTTAGAAACCATTTGATATAATACAAGGACATTATACTTCAGAAGTGTGTTTCCAGTTTGTTGATGGATGAGGATTTGGATGGCTTATTCTTGTGCTCAATTTAATGAAACATTTTTATGGCCGATGCAGCTGAGATGTTGTAGTTGTTCCTCAGCAGGTTTGTGCATTTTTGACATACAACTTGAAGAGTAGAACAAATGATTCTATTTCCCATTATCATGGGAAAAAAATAAAAATCAACTAAAATAGACATCTTATTTTGTAGGACCTTATAGAATTTTAAAGGGTACTTTAATGTTTTAATAAAGAGGTGTTTGTTTCATTGCCTGCTGTGAAGAGAAATTTGCAGGATTGTAGATGAAATTCTTTGGTTCTTTAATTGGATTGTATCTCAAACAAATTGTCAGTAGGTTATCGAGACACTTTTAACAGCTTCCTATTTCAATATTGCACTAATGTTTGCAATTGTTGGGGTGTATTTTGGGACTTTGGGTATTTGGAAAGTGTGACTGACCAGGCAAGGCAGAAACAGATCCTTGGTCATGCCTGATCCTTGGTGTGCCGATCTCTCATAGTTCCAGTGACTGGTTGGGCCAGGGATTGATTTAACAGACTTGTTACCAGGACAGTCTGTGCCCCAGCTCTGCCTCTGTCTCGGCACAATCTGAAACGGCGCTGCTTGCTCTCGGTGATGCGCAACATCTCGTCTCTGCGGGTTACTTTGAATGAAAGGCTGCTAAGTAACAGATTGATTTTGAACTAATTCTCATGGAGCTGCAGCCCCTGCCTTTTGACTTGTTGTTCAAAGTGACCAGAAATATGTGCGTCACTAGAAAATGCTTTTGTTTTTAACCCAGGAACCTACTTGATCTGGCTTGATAGCCATTTTTTTTCATCTGTTGATGAGGACGGTGTGTATTCAGCACTGCGCAGGTGTGCAATTTTAGGATTTTGGTCTTGATTGATTCCTTAAATCAGACTAAAGAATTGCTACTGGTGCTAAAATGACAGGAGCATCTGCTTTGCCAGATTCAAGGATGGATGGAATTTGCTCTCGGGACTGTCTTAAATGGGAAATCCCACGTCTGTTGCTTGTGCCTGAGATGCTGAGATACACTTTGACAGCAAAGCTTAGACAACTCATTTATCTCACTGTAAGAACTAGTTTAAGACAGTATCCTCCACAGGCAATGGCAGACAGATGCTAGAATGGGTTGAATAAGTGGTCTATAACCTAAATGCCTACTTTTATAGCCGTGCCAATAAAATACCTGTAGGTGCTTTAAAAATACAGCATTTGAAACACTTGAATTTTATTTTATTTAATTAGAATTCTTACTGTTTTTTAGCCTGTGATCCATTTGTACTGTAGAGGAAGCTAGCCAGAAGCTTTCTGAAAACAGCAAGTTTAAATGTAACCTAGCTATAAAATAAATCTATGTACATGTGTACTGTATTACTGTCAAATATGTATGTAATTGTTTATGTACCTGTTGTTTCTGAGCCAGAGGGAAGAGGATGGAGTTTTTCTGAATGACAGCAATGCTACTCACAATAAAGGGGAAAATAGTCCTGATAAAGGAGAAGCTAAAAGGCCTGAGAACACTTTCAGGTGATTGCCGTATCCCAGATTATTTTGCACATGAAAAAATACACGAATCTTGCTTTTGCCTGGGACGCAGTTAGCCTACACACTGCTGAAAATCCTGAAAACAACATCGGGATCCTAAGAAGATTTTTAACTGAGGCCATGCAAGGCCAAGTCCTCCAGGATGAATCTCATTCTGAGAAGATTGCACTAGGAGCTCCGGCAAAACCAACCAAAAACAGAATCAATATTGATCAAATAAATATTATCTAAATTGAAAATGTCAAATTAGGCTCAATATCATAGCCAACTGATTATAGCTGTCAAAACATGATTGTTTCTTCTGGGAAAAAGTTCCCATTTTATGTTTGTCAACAAAGGGCAGATTAATGTAGGGACACACTGTCACTGTAAACCGACCCCTTGATCTCTCTTGGGTATGATCCGACTGTTGCCGTCCCTCATTTCCACTATGAATACATAGTTCTAATTATCATTGCTTACACTTACTGTATATAGCGCTTTTCTGGACACTCCACTCAAAGCGCTTTACGGGTAATAGGGACTCCCCTCCACCACCACCAATGTGCAGCATCCATCTGCACATTGGTGGTAATGGAGGGGAGTCCCCATTACCTGTAATACATGGTCTCAGTGCATCTCAATGTTGGTACTGCTTTGTCTCCAGGTCACAGGAGCAATGTGGAATGATTGTGGCTTGCAGGGCTTGGGTGGATCACCCTGAAGTGTGCTGTAATCTGTTGCAGAGAAAGCCGGTTGAGGGAAGCTAGCTGAGGGAGAGGACAGCAGTGAGAGGGAGCCTCCATTGTTTAGAGGTCTCCCGATGTACTGGGGTCAGCCAGTGATTAGGTGGTTCAAGTAGAACCATCATTAGAAGGGTTGATGCATAATCAGGTGTTGTTGAAATCTGAGGTTGTACCCTCCAATAAGTCCTGCTTTTGATGTTTTTTTTTAACATAAAAAAACATGATAAATGCTGCTCAGCGGGAGTTTAGTGAGAAAGATGCTCCCTGCACTGCATGCACTCTGTGTTTACTGTACTGTAGTCAAGTAAAAGAGCCCCCCCAAAAAACATTTAAAGGGTTTAAGTGAAAATAAATGAAGCTGGGACAAACCTCATTAAACACCGTGTTTTAATGTTAATTAGACAAATGAATGTGACTCTTGTGCTTAGGTAACCCCTAAGCATAAGAAAAAACATGTTTGAGTGTAGATTTTTCTGGATTAGGTTTCCCTCCTGAACTTCAAAACCTCAGTTAGTTGCATTTCTTAACTTTGGTGTCTTATTTTTGTTTTACGTTTTCGATTTGCAGTGTTTTTATTCAGATCGCGACATGTTTGATTTTAATTTTGACTGGCTTCGGGGAGTAGCTGGGAGAGTTTCACACACAGGGGCGTGGCACCGATGGGTGGCGCTCCTGTGGAGCGCTTTGACAGTGTGAGGTGCAGCGCTGCGTGCCGAAAACCACGTTGGGCTCTCGAAGGCGAGGGGTGTTCTGTGAAACGGGCAGCTACAGCGCGGGCAGTGCCAAGGTTTGTTGGCCATGCTGGTGTTTTACAGTGGCAGTGAGGAGTTCCACTGCCCCAGTGCCATTTTGGAGAGTATATGTGCCATCCCAATCTCCCCCTCACCGCCCTCTTATCTCCTTGTAGGAAGAGTAGCATTTGCTGAGAAAACTAAGTGCTGTGCACTGGTTATGTCACATGGTCAATGGTGCCTTTTATAGCACAGAATTGTTTAAGGAATGTAAATGTTTGTATAGATTTTTTTTTTAGGAACCATGCGTGTGACCAAACTGTATGTAGCATATTTGGTCTGTAAATATTGTAAGAAAGTTTTATTTAAAAATAAAAAGTACTTCCTGTTTTTTTAAATGGTCATTGTCCCTGCTGTGAAATAAAAACTTCAAAAGAAATAGCGAATGGATTGGGTGTTCTTTTGTTTTAAAAAGAATAGGAAGGTTACTGTACTGATGCAATCTTTTGAGTTTCAGATGAGATATTTCTTATTTTAAGGTAGAATACCTTAAAATAAGCATGTTGTGCAGTCTGAGTGGGTTTGTCACTGGAACTGTATTGGCCTTCTTGCTGTGGAGCCCTTAAGCCTTTCAAAAGGTAAGTGTTTGCTGGGGAAGGTTTCGTTCCTGTCTTTCTACATTTGTCTGGTGTCTGACAGGCTCCGACTTTTTTGGAAGGGCACTGTAATTTATGTTCGCTCAATGTGACGTGTGCTGTTTATAGTGGATGCTTACAGAATTCCAGCCTTGGGTTTAGGCACAACAGAAGGCAGGCAATAAGGACTGTGGAAATCCCAATGGGCAAATATTGGAATTCTCCATTTATATGGGGAAAATGATTTGCAGTTCGAGACCAGGAAGCAATGAGTGTCAGCCCTGCTTCAACACTGTCCATTCTGCTTCTGAAGGCCTTTCACGAACTTGCACACTGCACACCTGTGATCTAACCTCTCTTCCTTGATAAAGTGAGGGTGGGGGGTGGGGGGTGGGGGGGTCACGTGCCAGTGAGCGTGACACTGTGAGCACATTGATTCTCGGGGACGGCAGCATTACTGAACTGTGAACCTTGCTCTCCTGTGCGATCTGTGAATCCGCTCACACACATCCAGCCACGTTTTCACACTAATCGCTTTTGTTTTCGCCCTGAGCAAAGCTCGTGAAAAAGGTGTGGAGCTGAGAGAATTGTCATATTACAAGACTCGGTGCCGGTGGTATTGCGCAGCTCTGTGATTTGTTTTGCTCAGATACCTTTAGAGTCTGCTTATTTTGTCATAGATCTCTTAAGTAGTGTGAGAATTAAACAATAGCTGTATTTTAATAGGCTGTTTTTGTCCCTGCAGCACTGGAAGTTCAGTAATATTCAATCTCTGTGATTTAAAGTGAACAAAAGTTTCCGACTTTGGCTCAACCATCTTCAGAAGAGCAGATTTTCTTGTTACTTGTGTTTCAAATATTCTTAATTTACTGAATGCTCCAGGATCACCATGGACTGCTGTTTTCTCTCTCTCATTTTTTCCCAAAAGGCTACATTTAAGTACCAAGACCCAATTAGATAAGCCCTGAAAGTAATAAAAAATGCTTAGAAATCTGACTTTCGGGAGATATGAAGAATGTTTTCCCTTTTCAATGACAATGTACAGAAAAAAAGTTATGGACCACATTATAAACTGCATGCTCAGTTATTTCCTGGAGAAAGCAGGCAGGAGTGTTCTGGCGTCTCTTTGAAAACCAGCAGTAATTCTCTGCATGGTGCAACTCACTGCCTTCTTCTGACGGTAATCTTAAAAGCAATGTAGCTTTTTTTACTTTCAAGCTGTTTTTGCCTACCTTTTCCTAGTTTTATTTTATTTATTTAATAATCCTTCACCTGTCTGTCAAAGCACTGTGATCTAAGTTACTCTACGCTGCATATGAATGCAGGGGTTGAGAAAATACCTTTATTCTTTCATACAGAAAGAAGAAACGAATAGGTAGCCCAGCACTTTTATAAATATTTAAAACAAACCTTTGTGTTCAAATTTTAAAAATCTACTCCCTGTGATGTAATGCACATTTATAGATATTGTGCACTTTTTGTCCTGCAGATTCCTGGCTTATTAAATGCATCCTCAGATCAGAAATTGTTAATTTTGCATACAGGTTTTCTCTTCCGATGATAGGAATAACTTCTGCTGGGTCATCTTAGTCTGGCTCTGCATGAAACTTAAGACTGCACTGCAAGCTACAGACAAAGGCAGCTTGTTTTTCAATAGCAGTCCTCTGTTCCTTTTCATTTCTGCTTTGGATGGTATTCTGCAAGCTGGGGAAAAAACCTACAAAGAACAGATTTTTTTTTATTTGCTTTTGCTATTTTCCACTGAGCTCCCTTTTCATTTACATTTTCTCTCATTACCTCTTCCTAGCAGTTTGTTTTCTGAACCTTCTATCTGTTCCACAGACTGTAAGCACACTAGCATTATGGTAACAGAGTCTGTGATGCAGCTGGAAGATGAATTGGTCAGCCGTTGAGCTGGATTGAGGTTCCTGATTTTATTTAGAAGTGGTGGAGTCCATCTTGCACCCCTGTCACTTCTCTGAACAGCGGGATGCCTGCTGTTCTTTACGTGTCTGAGCCTTTCATGCTTTTTAGTCCTGTTTGCATGCAGAATGCCTGACAGCCCCCCCCTCACACACACCCTTCCACCCTAGAGACTGCAAGAACACAGCAGAACAACACTGCCGGGCTTGTTAGCTCCGTAATGGAGATTTATTGACTCGGATTAGAAGGGCTTTGCAGGAAAAGATAATATGAAGATAGCAGCAGGGATAGCAGGGGGGCTAGAGGAAAAAGCCCCAATCAAGAACCTCTTAAAAATGACCACTCTCTCCTAAACGCCAAAAGCATCTCAAGTCCAAAATCAGAAGCCTCCCAAATGGGTTAGTTATTGCTGAGATCAACAAAGAATTCCATTCTTTTAACTCCAATGTGAGCCACTGCTGCCTGGGGTCAAACACAAGAGCTACATTTCCTGGCAGCATTAAAGAAAGGTCAGCATGGGCACTGCGGGGATAACCGCACACAAAGCTTTGCCTCAGGCTGTGGAGTGGTGCTGGTGTCAGTCTATTTGTACTGGAGTTATTCCTGGTGGGCCGCTTTCACTCATAATTGGTACAAGATTGCCTCAGCTGTGCGGTACTGTGTGTTCAACAGCACAGCACAGGTCTCCCACGCTGTTTTCTGTCTGGTTGTGGTGTCCGTGAGGCGGCACAGCCCTTGTGCTTTCAGATTTTTAGATACAGGGACAAGACGCCACATTTTCGAGCTGGATTTGATTCAGGGTTATTCGCAGTCCTGAGTTTTGCCTCTGGTCCACTGCAATGCATCTCAGCTGACAACTAAAACAGAGATGAAAAATGATGTTCATGCATGTTTTCAATGATATAAAAGTCTTCCCATGCCCAGGAAAAGCACAGATATAGCAGAAGTTAACCAGTAGAGTCTCCCCGTGTGAGAACTGTGAAGAAAATCCTTCAGCTTCTTAGCATAGGTGTCAAGCAAGAAATCAGAGAGCAAGCAGGGAACCTAAAGTCTGTCAGCCATTGAGCAAGGAATGTTTTGTGCCTTAGAATATTTCAATTTTCCATCTCCTCTTTTACCAGGGCTTTTTGAATCTATTCTTGCAACATCGTACCTGTTAATCCTGTCAGTCTGTCTTTTTATTCTTCTTGGAAGATCCTTGGGGTTTCCTCACCTCACGCTCGGCCTTGTCGGGATTCTTCCAGGGCAGGAAGTTGTAAGAGACCAGGGCGGTTAGCAGGTAAGTGGCCATGCCAGTGTAGCCACCCAGTATCAGGCAGAGAGTCTGGCCGAAGACGAACAGACAGAATACATTGATGGAGGCGCTGTTGTCCAGCAACAGTTTGTTCTCTTGACTGGCTCGGAAAACTGCAAAAAAATAAATCAGAGCCACAGCTGGGTAAAAAGCCAATTCGGCCATGGTGTCTTAATCCACTTGGAGAGGAAGAGCTGACGTGCTTCTGCAGAGCAATCCGTCTCGGTCTGAGAGCGCGAGAGAGAGACTGGCCTCGACCTTTCATCTCCCAGGTAATATCGCCTGGTGTTTTTTTAACAAGGTGCAGAGTGTCACAGTCTTGATGGTGGCTTAGCTGCACACTGCTGAAAGCGAGCAACCTTTGGTCTTTACCTGCTGGTTGCAAGTACACTCCAGTGTGAAAAAGCAAATAAATGACGTATTCCTGATTCCATTTCCTTAGTTTTCTTAGAGTCTAGTATGGGGTGGTGGACGGGATGTATGATGGAGGGAGAGCCTGTCATTTGAGAGGGGAGGGGATTTTTCCTTTACTGGATTTTTGCTTTCTTAGAAAGACTGAACTGTGAGCACTGGTATGGGGCTTCTCACTTAAACTGGAGGAAGGTTACACCCTCAAGCTGTAAAGCATAACTTCTTGTAGTGAGTGGAGATTAAAACTCACAGATCACCTGTGCTTGTGAAGCCTCTCGTTTTCTAGCTATGAGCCTGTGAACTGCCCACGCTTCAGCCAGCTGTCACCTGTGGAGTCAGAACTGTGGAGGACAATTCTGGCAGCCCCTAACCCTTCTTACTGTATCTCGGGATCCCCGAAGACATCCCTCTCCCTTGTATACTTGCTGGATTCACTACTCCTGGCCTGTTACTACCCCCTCCTGAGTCCAGTGTACCCGTGCACAGTGGCCACTCTTGTGTGACCACTGCTCCTCCAGCTGGATTTAGCTGGGCCTTTTTTTTTTTACAGATATTAAAGTTTAATCTTTAATTCAAAGGTCCGGGTGGAATAGAAAAGCAGCTCTAACTATGTTAGCATAACCATATAATTAACGGTATTATACTTTGTAACTACCTGTACACCAGCTGGCTTAGCTCCTTTTAGATTCTATTTTTCAGGCGATTCATAAATCTTAAGTCTCTGCATCCTGCAGGATTTTGGCTGAGCTACTGCAAAGCCCTTTTCAACCAACCATTTGGTGGCAATTGTGCAAACCCCAATGGCACCATTCTTTAGTGATGTGCCCTAGCAGGTCTGCATATCATCGATCATGAAGCTCCCTGAAGGCACGTCTGTGAATCTTATGAAATGAAAAATAATTAAAAGTAACAGCAATATTTAAAACTCTTCTAGTAACTGTCATGGCAAACTCTCTTGCTGTTGGTGTGTTTTTGAGGTCCGTCTCCTTTTCCAGACTGCTGGATGGGCTGTATGGTTGCATAGGCGAACTCTTCCCCTCTCTCTCAGCATGTGCTGCTTCACTGCGTGCCGTGCGCAGAGGGTCAAGTGCCAGGGGCACAGGGAGAGAGCATGTTGTGTCGCTTGGCAACAGTGGGTCAAGAAGGTTAAATGAAAGCCATATATCTTTCTTTTTTTTGTCAGGGGGACTGCCAAGCTTTATCTCTGCTCAAATCGGCGCTGTGCTTCAAATTTGAATGATTACAGCAGCCCACCAGCAGCCACAGGGCTTGTCGGAGATGATATGATGATATTAATTCGGGGTCCGTTAGGCCTTCGTACTCCTTGAATGAGGTGATGTTGACTCTGGTGGTGGTGGTTGCTCTAAGGTGCTGTCAGCTATGAGTGATTTAAATCCCTGGTGCAAATTGATTTCCAAAACCTTTTTTTTTTTACAACAAATGGAACACCTTGCCTGAACGCAAAGTGTGGATAAACAACAAAAAAAATGAAATCACTCTGCATCTGTGAGGATACTGTCTCGGGGGGCTTTCAGTGTGAGCACAAGTAAGACTGATCCAAAATCTCCTCTGTGCCACACACAAACCTCATGCGCAGCCTGTAGAGAAGGTCCTGTGTGTGTGCAGAATAATCACGTGTCTTGTAGTCAAGGACAGGACCAGGAACAATCAGGTGTGGCTGATTAAGCTGACGGTTTATGACGTGTTTACCTACTCAGACAGCTGTATTTTGAAAATCGTAGATGGCAGAGTGATGACACTTGGTACGCTTTTTGATGGAATCATGGGAAAACAGACAGAGGGTGTGGTCCACTTGGATAGCTGTGCATCATGCCTGCCTGGACAAAACTGGGGGGTCACACTGGACCAATGTAGAAAGACTATTCTGCACAGGGCTCGTTGTGAAATTGTCCTCCCGAAGCCCCAAATTTGTATGATTTGTTTGCACGTTTTTCAAGACACTGTGGTCTGAACAGGCCATTTATCCAAGTAAGTCCCCTCCACTTGAGCACAGGTCTTGATAGCATGCAGGCAGACAAAACCACTTTGACATTTTTACAGATGTATTTATTCTCTTAATGTGACACTTCCTCTCTGGACAGGGGGGTTGGCGTATTGCTCAAACTGTGCCTCTTGTCTTTCGAAAGAGGAGGGCACGCTGCGGTGGGAGAAAAACTTTGTGGAGGCAGTGCGATGTGTGAGGCGACACGTCTGTACCCACCAGTGCCTGCTCTCTTTGCTGAGCTGAATGGTGTGATGAAGAGGTGGGAAAAGCAGGGAAGAAATGGAATGTGGGAGGGCAGGAGAGAAGTGGGATTGATCAAGGATGTTACAATAAAAAAGCCACTCTCGCTTCCAAAGTGAAAAAGCAACTAAACTAATGCCAGCTGTATGCCAAAAACAACAGAAGGGAAGTCATTTTCAATGCTCAGAGGGCTTATGGTCTGATTTTAGTTTCTTTGCTAAGCAGGTTTTCCTGTTAGGAGAAATTTGGTAAGTCCTGCAATTGGGGAGGGTGGGAGTGTGTTACAGTTCTACTTTACTGTGGTAAAGATGTTGTATTGTAGAAGAGTGTGTCTGTGTGGGACCACTGTCTTTTACCAGATGTCTTGGTAAGTATTGTAAGCTTACTGGCTTTTTCCTTTCCAGTGAAACTGTGATGAATTTAGTGGTAATGATTTTTTAATGAAACCACTGTTCTGTTTTTCAACTGGATCTGTCTGAATTGTTTAGCAGTTTTGTACCTCGATTTTGTGCCTCAGAAGGAATATTAAGAGAGACTAATTAAGAGAGCTTTTGTCCAAAACAATTTACCCCTGAGCCCATTCAAGCCACTGGGTATTTTACTTTATTTGACATTCATACAGAATGGTATTTTAATCTATGGGAAGGGTACAACAGCTGGGATTTGAACCCACAGCCTTCCTGGTCATTCAGCGTCAGGGGGCTGTGATTGTTATGTTTTGTACTGCAGTAGGACTTTTTAATTTAAGAATGAGGAGCTGTGACCACTCACAGAGGTCATGAATATTCAGAAGGGATATTTCATGTCTTTTATAACAATGGCAGGGTGGTTAGTAAGTGAATGCTGGGTTTGAATCCTGGCTTGGGCATCTTCCTGTGGAGTTTGGATGTTCTCCCTGGGTTCTCATGGATTTTCCCCAAGGATCTCTGGTTCCCCCACCCCACCCCCTTCCAAAAGACATTCTGGGAAGGTTTATTGGTTGCTTTCACTTGCCTACTCCAGGAAGATGAGAAAAGGGAGACCTGCCTCATTGCTCCAGCCCATCAGGTGTGGTTCTGATTACCTCCATGATTCTTTCCTCCATGATGCACATTCTATCCACTGAAATAAGGATGTATTTGTCTGGACATCTTTCATTATTCTCATCTTATTTTAGGACTTTAGATACTGTACCTGTTGTCCATCTGGTTTGCAGAAGGCCTAGCTGTGATGGTTATAATACCACTAGAGGCTAACAGGAGAGGGCGCTGCAGAGCTGCATACAATTTTTGTGTGTTTCTCCATCCATCCATTTTCACTTATGCCATTCCACTCATCTCATTTGTTTTGGTGCTCATAAGATCTGGAAATCTCATCCAGCTGTTTCTTGGAAGAATTGGATTCAACAGCATGGCTGGGGAGCTTGTTCCAGACCCCCACAGCCCTTTAGGGAAAAAAAAAACTGCTTCTTATTCTCAGTTTAAGATGCACTACCAAGTAGTTTTCATTGATGTCCTCAAGAGTGCATTTGGTTGCTGTTTGTTTTTATGGAATCCAGATCAGCAATCAGTGTTCTGCAATTTATCAAAAGCGTACATTATATTTCATATAAAATGCTAGTGTATTGTGCAGTTTCAACATAACATCTCTTGATTTAAATTTTACACTGCAACTATGTATTCTGATATTCTTTTTGCTTTATTTTTCGTTTGTATGTTTTGATGAGAGCCATGACATCAGTGTATTTCTAAATAATAAGAACATACATAGCACCGGCATGCAGAGGAACTGTTAAAAACAGTTTATGATTTTACCTTCGTTACCTAGTTGCTCTTATTAATATAAAGTTGAAGCCTTTTTCTGTACTTAAGAAGCTGGGATTTTAAAGAGAGCTACAAACCCTGTTGGACAGTCCTGGGATGGTAACTTGTACCCAGCCCTCTTGTGTATATAAGCATTTTACAGGTCATGTTTGAGTTCAAGAGATTTTCATTTCAGTTTCAGCTCTTTTTAAATAATTTAGTAAAGGAAATTGTGCAGGTCCTGCAAAATCATGTGATCTGTGTGTTAAACTGAACCTACCAGATCATTTCTGGAGCACAGAAATTGCATTTCCTTAGCACTGGCTGCACGTTTGTATGAGTCAAATTAACCCAGCAAGTGTGCATATTACAGGCGGTAAAGGAGATCATTCTAATAATAATATAACTGAGTGCACAGTTGCTGCTGCTGTGTTCTCCTCCTCCTCACTCTTCCTCAGCGCATGCTTCTTCGAAAAGCCCTTTCTGAAACTTGGCAAAACCCAGCAAGCTTCTTCTTCTGCATCTGTTAGATTACAAAGTTTCTTCTTCAAAAGCTCCTCTTCACTTTTGGACAGGCTGCTCTTCCCAGGAATGTTTCCCTATGGGACTTGTAATGCAGGCCTCAACCATCTCTGCTAAATTACATCTCCCTTCCCTTGCAGCCTGTCATCCATCAGGCAGGGCTGAGTGATCGTACTCATCTGCGATTCTTCACACGATGTGGCAGTTTGCCTGTCCGCAAGCTCTGATTAGGTAGATATGAGATCTTAAGTGTTGGAGAGAGGTGTGGGATGATTATTACAGTAGTCCTGCTGATAACATTCTGATGGAATGGAGCTCTTGGCAACATTTGATTATGAAGAAGTGGCATCAGTCAGATTGTAGTTCTATTGTGCTTTGAAAAAGGAAATAACCAAACTTAGCCCTCCTTCATGTTGCCAAACAGAGGGGAAAAAAAGAACTGAGTGGATTGAATGTTGCAGAAAGATCAAAGCACTAGCAGAGAAATTTGAGCCGGAATGAATCTCACTTGTGAAACAGAAGCTGTTTGATTTTAAAATCTCCTCCATGCCAGCAGTACCTTCTCAGGATCTTGCCTTGCACGATAGTCCCCACAGAGATTTCAGCGCCTGAAAAATCTCTGCCTATTCACACCACAGCTCAATTAAGATCTTAATTTGCTTGACAAGACTTAGTGCTGATTTTTTTTTGTAGTTGAACACAATTATAAGAGTCTCGCAAACGTAATCCCTCCCACCAAATGCGTCAATTAGATATTTTAGTTAAGGAAACAGTCCTGTAAATGAAAAACTCTAGACCAGTAAACCTAACACTCATTCCCAGACAGCCATGCAGTCTCTTGAGTTTTTCCTTCTGCTCAAGCTCTGGATGACTCAATTGAATTACATATTGACTTGATTGGTCTTAACTAAACACGTGGAAACAGTTGTTAATTATTTAGGCATTCAAGTTCCCTATAAAACCTCCCTGTTTCTATGTCTACAAATGTCAGCCAACTCAGGTAAAGCAAACACAGGTCCTGTAGAGGTCTAGGGCTCTCTGGGTTACTTCACTGGACTAATTACTGTCTTAATTAGTCAAGGTGAATGTTATCCTTGTAAGTGAAAATACCTTTGGGGACCATTGGAATGTAATTGTGTATTTTAGAAATGTTTAGGAACAAATATCTGAATGCCCCTTTCCCTTAAGAACTATCCATTATCAGAAATTCACTTATTCCTGGCAAGGGTCACAACTAGGGACATGCCCCAAAAGCACAGGGAGCAAAGCAACACATGAAAACCTTCAGCCTCAGCACAATGTTAGGAAGATAGTTAGAAATGTGAAACATGCAAACTCCACACAGAAGGTGGCCAGGTTTGGAGTTGCACCCATGTCACTGCAGCTGTGAGACTCTAGTGCTGACCCACATACCACTGAGCTGCTCCTTCAAGGTTGAGAGTTGCTTAAACTAAACATATGGCTTTTTGATTTGTTCAGGAACAACAATATCGCATTCCTTAGGAATAGGCAGTTTGAGGTGACTTCCTCTTCTGCTCTTTAGCTGCTGAGACAGACAATGAAAGTTGAGTATATATTATCACTGTTATGCGTTACAACAGATTTTGATCTGTATGCAATTTATTTCTTTTGCTTCCTTATATCTTTTGTAAATCTTCAGCTAACATTAAAATTGCAATTGAAGAAGTAGCGTCCCGGCTGATTTTAATTACGCTTTTGCGTTATTTCGACAATGTGTTACTTCATATTTAATACATATAGACGTGGCAGTGTTGGTGACGTTTTTTCTAAAACGAGCATGACTATATCGAGTGTACTGTATGTCGGTATATTTACAAAGGCCCTGTGATCGGTAGGCGAAAGTGTCTCCACTTAACAGAAATAAGTGTGGTTTGAACCTAGCCCAGCTCAAAGCGTGGGAAGAATGAAAATATAGCAGTTCTTGATGCTCGAATAACCGACTAAATGCGATCTTTATACAAGATTAGTAAAAAAAATCCCGGGATTTATCATATGAATGCGATCTGGCTGCGAGCTGTCCAGCGAGGTGGTGCTGAAAGAGTCACTGTTGCTTCTGGTTTGCTTTAACACATCGCAGGTTTTCCTTATTTTTGAACAGCTCTCCCCTGATTCTCCAGTTTTAACACTTAATACTTGGGCTTTAGCCCCAGATAAACTGCTAGAATAATTGTAGTCAGACACCACAACGGATTACACTGTATCCTACTCCCCCATCTTGCATTTGCGATAGAAAAAAATCCCTGTCAATAACAGTTCTTTTTATTAAAAGATGCGGTTATTAAATTTCGAAGTAAAATGTTAAGTTATCTATATTTTACACAGATGAACAACAGGGCGGCTTCCCGCTGCTTACACAGTAGGTGAGCATGTTTTCTGGCTGGTTCGTAAGGAACACCTGTCTTGCCTTTGTCACTGCACACTGAAATGCTGTCAAAAAGAAAGAAAAAAGTAACAGAAATTCCAAGCTTGGGACGGCACGGGGAGGGCGCTTCCCTCCGCTGTACTCGATAAGCAGAATGGTTTATCAAATGTAAATTCACGTCAAGCACGGCTGGAACGGAAGAGAAGTTGGACCCCAAACAGATTGATTGTAAAGCGTGACAACAAGTGCACAGCTGTCCTAACTGGCGAGACTCCACAGCATTTAGCAGTATGCGCGAAAGGGCGGAGTTCCCCAGTTTTTAGTCCCTGGGCTGTTGGTTACTGGAAGAAAGCTCGCCTCGGAAGAAGACGGTGAAGTACTTGGCGCCGAGAGAGCGGGTTACTGATCCCACGCAGTAAACAGTTGCTCGCAGTCGACAAAGGCACAGTGCTCACTTCGTTTCTTGGGCGCCCCATATCATTTCACACGCCACCCAATTTTGACAAGGACCACAGCGGCTATTCTGGGGGGTGGGGTGGGGGTGCGTTATCTCTTTCTCTTTTTCGGTAAAGAAAGAAGGCTGACGTGCTTTTTTGTGACATTTTTGTGGACCTGGTTGTGGGAGTACTAGGGGACGAGGCTGTGCGAATCACGGAGCTGCCCTGAACCCCAGGCGCTCATGGAGGGAGACGTTATGGACAAACTGGGGGACATGGCTTCGATGAGTGAATTCGACCCCATTACGGGCAACATCCCCGCCACCAAAGTGGAGATCACGGTATCCTGTAGGTAAGTAGTGAGCGTAATCTTGTTTATTCCCTTACTAGGATTATCTTCCAGCTGTATGAATGGCACTTCATTCCTATTTAATTTTTACGCCTCAGCAGGCGACTGACTCTGATGCTATCGCATTCCTGCAGTCTGTATACTTTCTGCCTTCAAAAGACATTCAAGATCTTCTTTTTGCATCTTCTGTAACTAAGAAATATCTTATGTTCTCTCACCACTGTCCTGGTATGCATCGTAGTCTAGTACTAGACTTTTGTACATGTGCAATTGAATGCACTATACACGTATAAGGGTGAAGACTATAACTGTACAAATGTGTCATTAAATTGGCGAATAGGCATTTTGTATACTGTAGCTGCTTCTCCGCAACCTACACCCTTCTGTCTATACCTTAGTCAAAACGATGCAGGTTTCGAAGTTTGAACACAGCACCATGTGAAACAGAGCATCAACCGCTTGATTTTGGTTAAGAATATCTGCGATTCATCATTGTTCCTTTTCTTGTTACGTTGTTTTATTTCCTAATAGAAAATCTATAGACCAAAGCCACACAGAATGGATATTAGCTCTGCAAATGTGCACCTGGTGTTTTCAATGCCAGTTTCACAGGATTATCATTCGATTTGCCATCCTTTGGGTAGGTCCCCGGAAGACACTGATCTTACTGTATGTCTCATGCGCTTTGTTATTTAACACGTGGAGTATCAAAGTCAACAATCACATATTGCAACATCGCTCCGATTGCCTGTGTGTGTTTCATGGATTTACTTTATAAGATTAGAAGCGCTAGTATTGGGGACAATGTTCAACAGTCTGCGCATAAAATAGGTGGCTCGTTACACATCTATGGTCAGTAAGAAAAATTGCCAAAGAAGTATAGAAATTCTTTTACAATTCGCGTGATATGTAATGTTATTTCTTATTGTTCCTTTGTTTTTGACCGTGAGTACAGCAGAGACTCGGAAGGGAATTCCTCACTAGTGGGCTGTGGAGAGCTTCGCAAGCAGTGGCTCAGCACACAGAGAAATGCCGTATAGAGTCTCGCACCTAGAGGGAGGCACAGACCTAGAGCGAGCGGGGCCGATTCGCTGTTTAAGTCTCTTCCTAAAAATCTCTTTTAGGAAGGAGCTGCTTCTTTCAATAGATGTTCAGTACATTCACAGAAAAGATAATGTTTGCGAGATTTCTTAACAAAATATTCTGTGCCATATGCTATGTTCTCTATGTATGCAGTAGAGCAGTCTAGTCAGACACCAGCTTTTGACAAGCCCTCCTAGAGTCATTGTTAATTGTCCCAGCCTTTGCATTCATGACCCAGTGGCTCCTTCAACACTGAAGGTCTACAATGAAAGGGTCAGCAGAGAATTAAATAAAGATCCAGGTTAGTGTAGTCATTTTTATAAAAAGCGCTGTGCTGTCGGTCTATTCTGTGTGTGAAGTCCATCCATGCTGAGTTTCTAATCATGGATTGATTGGCTTATTCAAAAAGGTATTCTTTGAAAGTTCAGGGAAGAGTGAATTAAATACATTTTTTTTTGACAGGACCATAGTCATCTCCCTTGCTTCCACCCATTAAAAATATGTTAACAGACCTGGGGCCAGTGTCTGGACTGGTCAGAGAAGCCTGACTGTAAAGCCACCCCAGTATTACAGTAGATTTCCTTTTAAAAAATGTTGGAAAGATGCTACCAAGTCATATTCTTCTCTGTCTCTTCAGCTGTTTCCATGGATTCCTTCAAGAATTCGCTCTCCAAGATTCCCAGCTCAATAAGATACGCACAATCGGCTGATTAGGGAGGGATGAACAGCTTTGTTTCATTTATGTTGTTGTGCTCTTGCAGTATATTCATACAGTAAGAGGATTAGCCGGGCTGTCCCAGTGACCCAGTCATTTTCACTAGGACAAATGTCAGCCAAGAGGAAGAGTAGTAGGAATTAAATAGAAAGTATTGTCAAGGCACCGACAGGTTACTAAAAACCTCTTGTGAAAGAGGTGCACTTTCAATCTGAGGTATTAGGACAAAGCTTCAAATAAAACATATCTTTTCACATAGAGTGAACCTGAATATTGGTTTGTAGATAGCTGCAATGTCCGGCTAAGGGTTGAAGAGTGGCGTGCCGTATTACTGTATCACATGAGAGCACCAGAGCAGCAGCTCCTCCTGGCACAGTTACCCGTTATCAGAATATCCACCCAGCCAGGAGACGGAGAAACAGCAGCTTCATCCAGCCAATGTGTTTGCAGTGAGACCATTGAGCTGGGCTGTGATCCGTGTGAGGTTAGACAACTGGAATGGGCCGGGTGGTACCTGCTGCAGCTCCAGGTGGTTGAGTGGCTCAGGAGGTACCATCCAGCAGGTACCACCTGGCCCATTCCTTGTCATTCCACGCACAGTAGGTACCACCCTCCCTCTTTTACATAGTCTGATCATAAAGAGATCGGGTGCTTTTTCTCTGAAAAAGGAACACTCTCAGGAGCACTTCTGCTGGGCTTCCATTTATTTAGCTGTTTATTTCAGACATAAAGCCTTGTATCAGTGCGAAGATTGTGGTGAATGGTGTTTTATTAGAAGCCTTGAAAGAAATCTAAGTCATATAGTGCCATCTTCCAGCAAATTATTCCCCATGGTCCTGAAATCAATGGGCTTGCTATTGATGTTTGACCCCAATCATCTCCAGAGGAAAAGGCTCATACAAACGTAAATTGCCTTCTATTAATTCCTTATTTCAAAGCAGCACCAGAAGCTCACTTAAATGACCGCCCTCCATTTTATTAACCTAAATTTCAGCAGTCTCACTTGTCAGACCACTTTCTTTCTATGAAACGTGGCAATTTATGAGATGAATGGCTCATTCTCATTTTTGTTCACAAGCTGAATAATTCTGTGTAAATGCAAAATGTATCTCCCAAAACACCACCCCAGCCATACGCAACACTCCCATCAGTCTGGGCAAAGAAACCTCTGTTTGTATTTATAATCTAATTTGTTAAGTTGTTTGCAAATTAGAAGATAATGCTGAACGTGTCAAGTAAGAAAGGACAAAAAGACAAAATGTCAAACGCTGTTCACATACATTTTAACATATTTATCTGTTTTTCCCCTTTGAAGGAACATCTTGACAATCAGTGAATGAATGGATTTTCCATCTCACTTTGTTTTCCATTGCCTCCCATTGTTTTGTTTCTGCTAAGAATGAGTCTATCAGATGAAGAGTGAGGATTGTTCTGTTGTTGTTAGCTGTGACTGAATATCTGTGTGCCTGTCTCAACACATGTCCTTTACTAAGGCTAGTCAGGTAGATTGCTGAAGCAGGTGCAGTAATTTTTCTTATTGTTATCAATTTACTGGGGTCTGTCCTTGCTGTGTTGCTTGTATAAATACTGTAATTCTCCTACTGCCCCCCAACTCCTGTAACGCTGGTACATTGAGGGAATCTATTGTCTGCTGCTTGCCTTCATCTTTTTCTATTATTTGCTCCTGCCTCCTCACTGTTATGGAGGTCTCCTCCTTCACTGAATTTCTATAAAAAAAAATTCAATTCATCGCCTCCAGAAACACCCTGTCTTAGAAGATCAATTTTCTTGACAGTCTCAGCAGAGGAGGATGGAAATATATAAAAAAGAATGATTATTTTTAATTCACAGAGAAACAATAGCCATCTAGATTGTTAGGCACTGCTATCCTGCTCCAGCTCTCTTCCTTGCCTTTTTCGCTTACTGTATGAAGTTCATGAGAATTGTGGAGGTGGGAGGCCAAGACAGTCGGATTGAATTTGAACCTGATGTGTGAATCCTGTGCTCAATATAGAGAAGCACGGATTTTAAAGTTCACTGCCTTGTTCATTCTGTTGCACTGCATAAACCAGTTTGTCTCCTTTTCTTTTTCTGTTTGAAAAAGCACTACTTGATAAAATTTAATAACTTGAACATCTGTCAGACCTCAGTAGAGCTGTGTGTGAAACCTATTACATGTTGGCATTTACTATCCTTTTTTTGTTGCCAGCCTATTACTAAAAACAAAGCATGAAGGTAGAGTCTGACAGAGCATGGGCAATGTTTCTGATTAGTTCTATAATGCACAGATGCATTTAGCTCACATCTAAGAGTTGTGTTCCTGTAGATTATTCCCCGACTTTCACAGATTAAACTGTTGGACTGCCCTGCTGCCTGCACACTGATGTTACTTAACTAAGCCATATCACCCTGCAACTCACAACTGGCAGCCCACTGAAGCTAAGCAGGTGTGAGCCTGGTCAGTACCTGGATGGGAGACCTCCTGGGAAAAATTAAGGTGCTGCTGGAAGAGGTGTTAGTGGGGCCAGCAGGGGGCACTCACCCTGCGGTCCATGTGGGTCCTAATGCCCCAGTATAGTGACGGGGACACTATACTGTAAACAGGCGCCGTCCTTCGGATGAGACGTAAAACCGAGGTCCTGACTCTCTGTGGTCATTAAAAATCCCAGGGCGTTTCTCGTAAAGTGTAGGGGTGTAACCCCGGCGTCCTGGCCAAATTTCCCATTGGCCCTTACCAATCATGGCCTCCTAATAATCCCCATCTATGAATAGGCTTCATTACTCTGCTCTCCTCCCCACTGATAGCTGATGTGTGGTGAGCGTTCTGGCGCACTATGGCTGCCGTTGCATCATCCAGTTTTGGAGGGGAGTCCCCATTACAAGGGTTTTGAGTGGAGTGTCCGGAAAAGCGCTATATAAATGTAAGCTATTATTATTATTATTATTATTATTATTATTATTAACCTGTGGTGACTGTCCGAAAAGAATCTCTGTCCATGGTCCTGAATTTCAATCTCTGCAGACCATCAGTCATCAGTGAAAATAGTGACTTGTGTATTTCCAGTGGTCAGAGCAATGAGGACCAGAGATCTCTCCCAGCCAATAGTCCACTGCCGAATAAGATTACACTGGCCTTTTCTGTACCAGAAAAGACAAATTAATCCCTAACCCAGGCTCACACATGCCCATAGCATTCAATGATAAG